GAGAATTATTTCATATTGCTGATCCTGAAATGCCAAATTCACAAGATTATGTGGAAAACTTTTGAGAAGGGACGGATACAGAAAACATAGACAAACTGTCATACAGTCGTCTGATGCATGCATCATGGTGCTTATAGCCACCGCTAATTCACAGCTCTTGTCCCTAGAAACAGTAAAGAAGATACAAAATAAAACAATAATACAAGCACAATGTCATGTTAAATGTGTTCTTCTTGGGCCCCAAATGTCCATTTCTTTGTACAACTGTGTCCTCAGCCCACATGACTCATAGTGGCATTTCTGGTGACACACTTGTGGACAGAATAATTGCATAACAATTTGATCTCATATGAATAAAGGCATTTTCCAAGCCAGTGTGTGGTACGCCATGGCCTCAAAATTAAAATGAAATGCAAAGCTCCAATGCATGGTTTTACAGCTGTAATCTCCTGCCCTCACAAATGAATCCGACGCTGGCTTATCAACAAGTAATATAGTGACTCAATGGGAGAGATCGACTGATACATCTGGCTGATAGTTTAGGTTTTTCAAAAATGGGCTATTGGCTATCTCTTCTCTTTGACCAATATGTTTCCAAGTCCCATGGCATGTTATACTTAATTCTAAAGCAAGCTACTACTGGTGACAAGCTGCTACTTTAGCCACCACCGCCCTGGGGCAGACTGACGAAAGTGAGGCAACCAGTATGTGCGATCAGCCCCTCTACCACCAACTATTCATGCACACACCAGACTCATTCTAGGGAATGTGGGTATAGAGTATTGTCTAATGAAACAACGGGAGTACTGTAGCACTTTACAGCCACAGCTGCCTCACTGTGGCACCTGGTTTCCCAGAGGTCTCCCATCACACCTGCTTAAACAAAACTATGCATGAAACTCTGGATTACTTGGTTGTTTTCTCCATTCCCATCAATATCTATTGAGGAATTATGTGATAACCTTTAAAAGTGTTTTAATTTCTAACTGGTGCATTAGAATAAGCACCACCACCCTGTTTATTTGTGACCTTAAAAAACGTAACTTTTTTATCAGTCAGTATCGGCATCGGCCACAGAAAACCCATATATTGCTCTAGATTTGAGAAGACCTTTAAAAACCCCAGAGGTTTTTAATGTGAATACCCTTTTACTTCTAAACTGAGGGTGCCTTGTCTGCCGCCACTCACTGGGCTCAGGCTGCACTAGGGCAGACCTCTATGCCCCGGTTCTATCATCACTGCAGTGTTTTCAGTACAAAATTCTCTTGATAATCTTCCATGTTTTAGAATGTAAAAGAATTTAAAAGTTAAATATATACATTATATGTATATATATATATATAATCAAAATAAATAACAAATAGAAGATAACATTTTTGTCCCATGACTGATATAGTATAATTACAACACTTGCTGGATTATAAGAATGACTTATGTATGTATTATTATTATTTCAGACCGGCCCCTGGAGGAACAGATTTGGACACGGCTCTGTCAGCTGTTGGTCTCCAGAGCTGAGGATATAGCACACAGTCCTGCTTCCAATTGTTTATGTCCTTCCAACACCGGCGGGAAGTGCAGGGAAATACACTTGTTTTTCATGTGATTAGGGATATATTCAGAGCAGGGTTTGTGGACCTACCATTTACTCCCATTTTTAGTGGAAATATTAGAAGAAATAGATTTACCAGAATGCTTTCATCATCACAAGTCAACAGTGCGTTAAAACACCTTGTCATTTAATCATAACGTGACCAGTTAAAACAGTGCTCGTTTGCTCCATCAGCCACTGGTCAAGAGTTTCATTAACATGAAAACCTGCGGCTTATATTCAAGTACGATATCTGGACATTAACTTTGCTGGTGCAGTTTATGTGCACATGATTGTCCAGCAAGTACTGTCATATAATATACTATATAATTGATAATAAATAACCTCGCTTGATTGAAACATGTTTTGAGGAAGAACTTCCTCAAACTAGAAGACTAGTGTAGATTTGACAGTTTACTGTTTTATATTACATTCACTGTTTTCTACAATAAGGGTGTTTGTTTGTTGCGTTTAAACTTCCAACCAAGCATACTGAATGATTTAAAAAGTAGTTGTGTGTGTAGTAGTGAAAGAACCCCTTTGCAGTGTGTTGTCCCACCTATTACTGTTTAGTATAGTAATAATGATCTTGTGACATAAGAGCAGCTGTGATGGGGCTATGCTATGGCAGGGGGCCAATCAGCACGCAGCAGGGGTAGTTATAAAGCCACAGTCCAATGGAGCTCATAACAATCACAATCTGAGAGTAAATATGGGGGAAAGATTAAGTATGTCGTATGTATCCTGTCCATCAGTGTGCTAGGGACGGATACACAAAAGGTTGCACAATCCTTGTTTGACACCACACACAACATTTTTATAATTCAAATTAATTTCATGTATGTGTCCAAACTGCTGTCAGTTTGTAAAATTGAAACTTTTAGACTGCCTACATCATTGATAGCGAGACACCACGTTGCTCTGGTGCCACACCCAGTGTCTGGGCCCCGGGGATCATGATCTGCACTCAGGCCCAGCTCCTCACAGAGCAAGGCCACAGCCGGGGCCTGTGCGCCAAACTAATAAACTACAAACAAAACTCGCAATCAATACATCTTTTAAACGCATCTTGTCTCATCTTGTAGTCTCTCCAGATTGAATAACTGTCATGAGTAGGATTAACTGTGCGTGCGATGCACCACTGATGGTTGTTTTTTTCTTTCTTTTTTTTGTAAAAATGATTTGTTTTATGTAATCTGTTAATGTTATATATTGTTACGTTTGTTCTGTTTTCTGAAAAGGAAACAGAACAAAAACAGATAATGCGATAAAGAAGCATCTTTTATAAAAATATATATTATGTAATTTACTGCACCATAGGTCTGTGGGGTCTCAGGTCTAATGATCTCAACTCAATAACATGATAGATAATATCATGTCTAATGATCTCAACTCAATAACATGATAGATAATATAATGTCTAATGATCTCAACTCAATAACATGATAGATAATATCATGTCTAATGATCTCAACTCAATAACATGATAGATAATATCATGTCTAATGATCTCAACTCAATAACATGATAGATAATATCATGTCTAATGATCTCAACTCAATAACATGATAGATAATATCATGTCTAATGATCTCAATTCAATAACATGATAGATAATATCATGTCTAATGATCTCAACTCAATAACATGATAGATAATATCATGTCTAATGATTTTATCTTAAATGTATTGTCTATTATCTTAAATAATAGACTTTGATGTGTGCAATCTGAGTGCTCTTATTTCCTTTCTCTGCTGTAATGTGCAACGATGACACTGACATTTCTCCACTGTGAGACTAATAAAGGTTTATCTTATCTTATCTCAACTCAAAAACAATTCCTATTAATACATCCTTTTTTCTACAGCATTAGCAGATCAAACTTGAGGGAAAACAAGCTTTGATAGTTCACCCCCAAAATGAGGACAAACACACTCAGTACTCAGTGGCCATGCAAATGTGGGTCACTGGCTCGCGCCCCATGCCGCCCCGCCCGCCTGGCCGGCCCAGTCTTTGCTTCCACATTCTGCCGAGCTGTGGCCTTGGGACATGTCTCATCACACACTGTTTGCACACAACACACAGATCTATGCTCTCGTTCGATATGAGGCGCAGGACCACTTAATTACAGCTTTGATATTTACAAAATGTTTTAGATTACAACAGAAACTAGATTAGAACTGTATATGTGTCAATTATCTTTTCATGAGTATATGTAAGGGCTGTGAAAGCAAATGTGATCTGTGTGTGTGTGTGTTGAAAACAAGTGCACACACACACTGCACTTGTTTTCAACTCCTGGTGGGTTCCATAACCTGAGATTCCACTCACGTCATGGGGACTGGTTTTACGTGGTGGGGCCCGAACACCGTAAGTAATCTTTATTTATATACCGCCTTTTCACTGCAGATCTGAGTTTCAAAGCGGTTTACAATTGTTATTTTTGGGCTCACTCCACACAGAGATGGGAGCGGGGCCAGTACAGGAGGCATATGCCAGACCTATTGTACATGTTTTTAGAGGCAGGGACAACCAGAGTACCCAGAGGAAACCTACGCAGACACGGGGAGAACATGCAAACTCCACTCAGAAAGGCCCTTTTCCGACCGGGATTTGAACCCAGGACCTTCTTGCTGAGAGGCGAGAGTGCTATCCACTCAGCCACCGTGCCGCCCTGTCAGGTGTCAGGCTAGAAAAGGTGCAAGTGTGTGGTTCATTAGGCTGCAGCCAATCACAGAGCAGCACACTGAAGCGCACGCTTACAAACCACTGGTAAGTGCTGACTACAAGTCATGACTTCAAATTGTTATATAAAATTATTACAAATTATTTGTTGTTTGTGCAGCTTAGTCAAGAGTCCCTAATTGATGAAGTCGACTCAGATTTAACTGTCAAGAAGAAACCTGTAAAAAAGTATGGAAAAAGAAAAGTCAATGTCCTGCCACAAAATGTCCCGTCATTTGACTAGAAAACATGGAAATGAAAGTGACGTAGCCAGAGCATTGGCTCTACCTGTGAAATCTAAAGCACGTAAACTTCACTTTGATTTGATCAGGAATAGTGAAAACCGTGAGCACAATGTTGTGCTATATCACTGAGTGGTAACAACCTGGAGCTGAACGCCCAGAAGACAGTGGAGATGATTGTGGACTTCAGGAAGAGCACTGTCCCCCCGCCCCCACCCTCCCTGATGGACTCCCCCATCACCTCTGTGGAGTCCTTCCGTTTCCTGGGCACCACCATCACCCAGGACCTCAAGTGGGAGCCGACCATCAGCTCCTCATCAAGAAGGCCCAGCAGAGGATGTACTTCCTCCATCACCTCCTCCATCACCTCCTCCATCACCTCTGTGGAGTCCTTCCGTTTCCTGGGCACCACCATCACCCAGGACCTCAAGTGGGAGCCGACCATCAGCTCCTTCATCAAGAAGGCCCAGCAGAGGATGTACTTCCTCCATCACCTCCTCCATCACCTCCTCCATCACATCCTCCATCACCTCCTCCATCACATCCTCCATCACCTCCTCCATCACATCCTCCATCACCTCCTCCATCAGCTCCTCCATCACCTCCTCCATCACCTCCTCCATCACCTCCTCCATCACCTCCTCCATCACCTCCTCTGTCAGCTCCTCCATCACCACCTCCATCACCACCTCCATCACCTCCTCCATCACCTCCTCATCACCTCCTCCATCACCTCCTCCATCACCTCCTCATCACCTCCTCCATCACCTCCTCCATCACCTCCTCCATCACCTCCACCATCACCTCCATCACCTCCTCCATCACCTCCTCCATCACCTCCTCCATCACCTCCTCCATCACCTCCTCCATCACCTCCTCCATCACCTCCTCCATCACCGTGTGGTTCGCTGGAGCCACAGTCAGGGACAAACAGAGACTACAGTGCATTGTGCGCTCTGCAGAGGAAGTGATCGGCCGCAGCCTTCCATCGCTGCAGGACCTGTACGTCGCCCGAGCTCGAGGCCGGGCTGGTCGTATCACAGCCGACCCCTCTCACCTGCATATGGACTATTCCAACCACTCCCCTCTCACCTGCACATGGACTATTCCAACCACTCCCCTCTCACCTGCACATGGACTATTCCAACCACTCCCCTCTCACCTGCACATGGACTATTCCAACCACTCCCCTCTCACCCTGTACATGGTCTATTCCAACCACTCCCCTCTCACCTGCACATGGACTATTCCAACCACTGCCCTCTCACCTGCACATGGACTATTCCAACCACTCCCCTCAGGCAGGAGGCTGCGGTCCATCAGGACTAGAACCTCCCGCCACAAGAACAGTTTCTTCCCCTCTGCTGTTGGACTCTTGAACACTTCTTAACCTGTCCCCACGCCCTTTATAAAGTCACTTTACTGCCCATCATACGTCACTTTACTTCACTGTACTGCTGTCACCTTACATTGTGTGCACCATGTGCACTTGTATATTGTAAATAGTAACTGTAACTCTATTTTAAATTTACATTTATTCTTTAGAAGTGTTTTTTATTCTTATTTTTATTATCTCTTTCTGACTGTTGCACTGAGCCAAAGCAATTTCCAAGTCTGTGACCTCCTGTTACTTACGTGTCAATAAAAATGAAAATGATTCTGAAAAATGGAGCATTGTGTTGATGAACTATTTATTAAAAACCTCCAACGAAGCCGGCTGCTTTTTGAGAAGAGGTGGGACGTCTGTGTTTCTTCTGCTGCCCTACAGACCCTCCGGCAAGCCAAGTGGAACACTCCGGACCTGCTCCCTCTGACTGAGGACGTTAGAGCCATGCATGCACATATTGAGGTATGTCGACCTGAATATGTGCAAACCCTAATAAGTGAGCCAACGTCTAAGCATTGGTCTAAACTGGCAGTTTTGACTCTTTGTGAGGTCATTATTTTCAATCGAAGAAGGGAAGGTGAGGTTTCAAAGATGCCACTGACAGCCTTTACCTTAAGAAGTAAGACTGGGATCCATTCTGACATTGCTCTGGGACTGTCCCAACTTGAGAAAAAGCTGTGTCAGCATTTTCAACGCATTGAAATTAAAGGGAAAAGAAGTGGGAAAGTGCCGGTTCTTTTGACTCCTGAAATGATTGCTTCGATGGAGGTGCTGGTGGAGAACAGAAGGGCCTGTTCCATCTCTGACCATAACCCATACTTCTTTTCCCGCCCGGGCGCAGACACCCACATCAGGGGATCAGACTCCCTACGCCAGGTAGCCAAAGAATGTGGTGCGGTGCATCCAGAGATGCTATCCTCAACCAAACTTAGAAAGCACATAGCTACTATGTCTACAGTTCTCAATATGAAAGAGAATGAGATGGACATACTTGCCAACTTCCTCGGCCATGACATTCGCATCCACAGGCAATATTACAGACTACCAGAGGGGACACTGGAGCTGGCCAAAATCAGCAAAGTGTTGATGGCCATGGAGCAGGGAAGAGTGACGGAATTCAAAGGAAAGAGCCTCGACCAGATACAAATTGAATGTATATATATATATATATATATATATATATATATATATATATATGTCCATCCATCCATCCATCCATCCATTTTCTACCCTTTAATCCATTTCTGGGTCAGGGGGGTGGCAGTCAGAGATGCCACCCAAGTCTCATAGCACCAGCCCCTCACTGACCCTCTGCAGGTGGTGAGTCCACAGGAGGGCGGCTGCTCTCTGAGTGTGAGCACAGCCTGGATCTTTCAGTGGGGGCTTTTGGGCAAAGTGGGGTTAAGTGTCTTGCCCAAGGACACAACGACAGCAGTCATCAGTGGGAGTCAATGGAGAAGGTGCAGAGGTGGGAATTGAACCCACGACCTTCTGGCCTTAAGGCCAATGCGTATGTATATATATATATATATATATATATATATATATATATATATATATATATATATGTGTATGTATATATATATATATATATATTTTATATATATATAACATATAAAAAATTAAAGGAAGGTTTCTCACCCATCATTCCGGATGAATTTTTTCCCGACGTTTTGTCCTCAATCCTAAGGACTTCTTCAGGGTGTGGTTAACCACACCCATAGGTTATAAATCTCCAACGCACGGTCTGAGAATTCATTCCCTGAAGAAGTCCTTTGGATTGAGGACGAAACGTCGGGAAAACTTGCTAAGAAGTACAGATGATGGTGAGAAACCTTCCTTTGCTTTGACTAATCCCTGAACGATTGAGGGCTTACACAAACTTATATATGAAAAATATATTTTTTATTTCTCTCCCTAGAACGTGTAAGAAAGCCATGGTCTGCATCTGAGGTGAAGGCTGTGGAGAAGACCATGACACCTTTCATACAGACTGGAAAGGTCCCTGGGAAGTCTCACTGCCTGGCCTGGCCTGGCCTGGCCTGCATTAATGCCTCACCAGATGACCTTAGACATCGGACATGGAGTGGCGTTAAATTCTATGTCAGAAGTAGAATCGCTGCGTTTCGAAGAAAAAATCTTGTAAAAGAGTTGTCTGTTTTGTATTACTTAAAGTAGTCCCAGTTCTGAAAATCAGTGCAGAGTCATTCTAAAGTGACCCCAGTATTGGTAAAAATAAAGCAAGATTTTAGGAGTCGAAACCATGGCTGTGGGTCCCATATGGAACGGCCCTGTCTTAGGGACCCACCAGGTAACAAAAACGTGTGAGTACATTTTTAGTTGTGGGGGAAACCGGAGTACCCTAAGGAAACCTATGCAGACATGAACATGCAAACTGCACACAGACCCTGGCCATGGGTTCTTAATGGCCTACATTATTCTATAATATATACATTATTCTATATATTTAAAAGTGCCTTTTTCAACCATCTACAGCTGAAATTGTTTGGATCTAGCTTGTGCTCTCACTCCACTCCTGTGTGGCAGACCTCATCACTCTGTACATCAAGACTGTCTGTTCACCACTTCTCTGCAAGATAACTCTGTCTCAGTCAGTCGTGCATCCAGATTTATGTTATTCAGATCTACTGTAACTGTTTTTTTGTGGATTTCTTTACAAGTACCTGCTGCTCCTGTCTAAGTTCTCCCTGCCTCCACTTCTGCTCAACTTCCTGCTACTGTTGTAAATAAGGTTCTCATTACATTTTTGTTGTTGTTGAAAAATTACCACTTATTACCAAATTCTTAGAGTATGAGATGGGCAACACATTTGACAAATGTTTTTGATGAAGGATGAAAAGTAATGATAAAAAGATATTTATTATTTCACTACTACTTGCTGAAATCTCGACCTTAAATTCTCTCGAATGAATAATTTAACCAAAATATCAACAGTCATAGTGATTTCTCTGATCAACATTGCAATTAGATTTGTACTTTGTTTTAACAATTGGCACCTCTTCACCAGAGCAGAGATGAGAATATGCAATCTCTAAAAGAAAAGCCATTAAAAAATGTTTTTACATTTCTTTTATATCTAAATATACTATTAAACATTAGTTATCTATCTATTATATCATTGGGATAAACAAAAACAATCAGAATTGTTTTTTTTGCTATAACTTTATAAGAATGACTTACATTCACAACATGTTAAGTTTTTTTTAACTTTCTGAAATCTACTGGAACACTGGACTTCAGCTTGACTTGTCAGTGATGGACAATGTTGTATACTGTTGGGCTCTCCTCCCCTTGGGGTCACTCCTCCTGGCCTGATCCCAGCTCCGGTCTCCCAGAGCAGAGCACCGGAGCGTTTGATGTGTGCACCACTGAGCTGCCTCTGTTCGAGATGAGCCCTGACACCAAAACATTCAGCCCCGCGAACACTTAGAACACACATGCGTCTCTACCGCGCAGTCCGTGCATCCCGAGACGCACATGCAGTTCCAGGCTCGAATGCGTGTCACCATTGACTTTGCATTGAAAGTCACCGCAGCATGATCTGGTCTGAACGCGGCATAAGTCCACCTAACTCTCACACACGCCCCAGCAGCAGGTTGGAGAATTCTGGCGACATCTAGTGGATAGAAATTAAATAACATCCGTTGACAGCCACTGCTGCTGAGATAATTCTGTGGCTTAGGTTCAGGTGTGTAGCTCTACAATTATCTTAGTGTGTAAACAAGGGTGGAATGAGACTTTCTGGTTTGTAAACTATTGCTTTAAGCAGCAATGACTCAGCCACGCTTTTCATTAGAGTGTATAATCCCACACAGAAACAACAAATGGCTGACTTGTTGTTGACAAAAGAATTTCTGATTGAAGCTCATCTAAGCAGTTATGGTTTTTGTTGATAAATGTGAAAAAACCAATAACCCCTCCAAGAGTTTACACCACTTTCTGCCAGATAAAGCTTCAACAACAGCTTTAAAATGTGTAACGTTGTTTTCTGCATGTGTGCACGATGGCCATGTACAAGGTTTGTGGGGAAAGAGCTCACCATGAAGTGAGGCATAACATGAGGAATATTTGACTACATAAAGACACATTCTCTCACATAGTCTTGCATCTGAAACGAGCGCTAACGCTTGGGCTCCTGCTTTTTTATAAATAAAACACTTGTGTCTGCAAAGAGATTGTGGAAGAGATTTGGGTTAGCCATGTGCAGACAATAGTTTAGCAAACTTAAATGATCAATAACCCAAAAAGGGAAGTAGACAGCACAATTCTGAGGTGGATTCATTTAAAACAACACAAACTTAGCCACAGGAATACTGACAGTGACGTATATGTATCGTAGTGTGGACTGTTGGCTGATTTATTTGTACCTGGTTTAATTTCAATACGTATTAGTTGTCAAATGTGTTTCACCGGTGTCTCTCTATGCTCTGTCTGTGTTTGTTTGGTCTGTTGTCGATTGTCTTCGTCCCGGTGCTTTTGACCCGGTCCCTATATGTTCAGTTTTGGATTTGTTTTGTTTGATGAACACCTCAGACTTTCTTTCTTTTTTTTACATTCCAGCATTTCGAGTTCTTCCTTTGTTTAGTTACACATTTTTAAAAGCAGTAAACCACAATTAATAACAGTGGCAATAATAGTAGTAATATGTAATTCAGTTCCAGGCTCATATAATATCCATCCCGGCTCTCATTATTGCTCACCCAAAGTACCAGAATTAGATTGTTGTTAGATTGTTGTTTTCTCAGTGTTATTGCAGAATCAGCTAGAAAATGTATATATATATATTTTGTACCTTGCCTTGAAGAAAATAGGATTTTTAGGACTGGCAACTACACTACTGCCAGGGGCAGCTTGCACCCAGAAAGGTTGTGAAGGCTAAAGTCTATCTGAGGGTGATTGGTTCCACCTTTATAAAATCCAAAACAACAAACAACTTGAACAGCTTCTTTATTCTAAATTACAAAACAAACGTTTTCCAAACATGAAATTTCCCATTTCCCAAACAGTAAAAAATGGCAGTATCCTACAAATACTTTCTATTGGCTTTTTTTTTCCTAACAGCAAAAAAGAATAACTAGTCAAAGTCACAAATGACTTACTACTAGCTGCTGATAATGGACAAGTGTCAGTGCTGGTCCTACTGGACCTTAGTGCTGCATTTGACACAATAGACCACAGCATTCTACTGCAGAGGCTAGAATGTGATATAGGTCTTAGAGGAACAGCCCTTGGCTGGTTTAAATCCTATTTATCAGATCGGTATCACTTCGTCAATGTGAATCAGGACTCGTCGCCTTATTCTGGAGTGGAATTCGGTGTGCCGCAGGGTTCGGTACTCGGACCGATTCTTTTTACTCTCTACATGCTGCCACTGGGAAACATTATTAAAAAGCATGGAATTAATTTCCACTGCTATGCAGATGACACACAGCTTTATCTGTCGATGAAGCCTAATCAGACAGATCAGCTAGAAAAGCTCAGTGCTGCATAAAGGACCTTAAAATGTGGATGACTCTTAACTTCCTACTTCTCAACCCGGAGAAGACAGAAGTGATCCTACTCGGTCCGAAGCGCCTGCGTGACTCCCTCACTAACCAGATGGTTACTCTCGATAATGTCAGTATTATACCCAGTAACACTGTGAGGAATCTTGGAGTCATTTTTGACCAAGAACTCTCCTTCAAGGCTTATATAAGCCAAGCAACTAAAACGGCGTACTTCCACTTACGGAACATCGCTAAAATTAGGAATTTCCTTCCTAAAAGTGACGCGGAAAAACTCATTCACGCGTTTGTCACCTCAAGGCTCGACTACTGTAACGCTTTACTGGCAGCGTGCCCTAAAGCCTCTTTGAAGAGCTTCCAGCTCGTTCAGAATACAGCAGCTAGGATCTTAACAGGTACCAAAAGGAGGGAGCACATAACTCCGGTGTTAAAATCACTCCACTGGCTCCCTGTGGAGTACAGAATAAAGTTTAAAATCCTACTCTTAACATATAAAGCCATAAATGGCTTGGCTCCTTCTTATCTCCAAGACACGTTAGTGTCGTATCAACCAAGTCGAGCGTTGCGCTCACAAAACGCCAGACGTCTGGTGGTCCCTAAGGTCTCAAAGGTCACTGTTGGTGGCAGAGCATTTAGCTCCAAGCTCCTTTACTGTGGAATCAGCTTAATTTATGTTAAGGAAGCAGATACGGTCTCCACATTCAAGGCCAGGCTTAAAGCACTTTACTTTAATTTAGCATATAATTAGGTAATATATAATATGTAGTGTATATATTATATATATATGCTGTATTTGTTATATATTATGTTATATATTATTCAATAATGTATTGTGTTATGTTGTATATTATGTTATATATTATGCTGTATGTTATTCTTTATTCAAGGCTAGGTTTAAAACAGTCCTCTTTAGTTTAGCATATGGCTAGGAAGGTAAGACTCGGAGAAGGTTAAACTCCTCAGAGTGTTAGTCAAGCTGCATAGGGAGCCCCCTGCTGGAGAAGTATGGTAACTTGAGCACTATCCTCTCCTCCTTCCTACTTTATCTGTTTAGCATTTTTAGGATTTTGACTGTAGTTTGTTCATTGCTATTCACCCGTTGTCCCATTGTCTGTTTCATGGTACGATGACGGGATCTCTGAGCCTGGCCTCTTCCATCTACACCTGCGGACTGCCCCGCCCGACCCGCCTGGGAGTGCTTCAGTCCTGCACCGGACCTGTCCACGTTCAGCGTCCACTGGTCCACGTTCTGTAGCTAGCTTAGGTCCTAGATCATTAGCCTGTCCGTCCGGAGGAGCGGATCCCTTTCTCATATGGGTCTCCCTCCCTGTGGGTTTCCCTAGTTCTCCTCCAAGGTTTCTCACTTTTTCCCACTGGGTTTTTTAAGAGTTTTTCCTTGTCGATGCAGGAGGGTCTTGTTGGACAGTTAGTGTCCAACAGAAAGGATTGGTGATGATCAGGACACTTTAGCATTCTACAACATGTATGGACATTTTCTTCTGTGTGTGCTTTATATTCTTCATGTGTTTTAACTGTTGATTCTCTGACCTGTGTTGGTGATTTCAATGGTTTTGTTAAGTCTCTGAGATGACTTCTGTTGTGACCTAGGGCTATACAACAATAAATTGTATTGTATTGTATTGTAATAACAAGGAGTGATGCCAAGGGTAATTTCAATAAATCATACTGTAGATGTCCATGATATATAAATGCATTCTGCTCATGGATCTATCACATTATCTATATATATCTATATATAACAATATATCATGTTTACTTGACCCTTGAACTACCCAAAAACTGCACCATATTTGCTACATCGAGCACAAAGATGAGTGGTTTAGTGTCATTATAAAACGCACAGAGAGAGGGGGAGAAAGTGCAGAGGACAATCGCACAGAGCAATGTTAATGAAGATCACCATATGGGCGGATTATAACAGGATTAGGAGGTCGCCCTCACTCATGGACCATTTACACAGATGTGGCAGAAACAATCATTGTAGGCTTGTATTGTTTTTTTAAGTTCAATTTTTATTTATTCACCATTCTGACAATGAAAATAGTAAACACAGACAGACAGACAATAGCTGAGATTATTATACGGGTCTTCATAGTAGAACGGACCCCTCAAACCAATAATGACCACTGCCCATGGCAACAACTCATGTGTGTCAAATCACTCCTTATGCAGTCCGTCCACTTCGTCAACACTAGGGCTGAGATAAACGATTATTTTTTAAACGATTAATTTTTTCAGTTCGATTATCTCCCCATTAACTGACTAATATCAATGTATACATGTTGATTTACATATCTGAATGAAAAAACATGAATTCCTTCACGAAATATATTTATTGCTCTTAAAATTCAAAAATAAGACTTTCTTAGTCAGAGGTAGCATACAACCTTGAAGCCTTGAAAATCTAGCTTACTGAAAAAAATGCATATTATTCTTCTTTCAGATGAAAATAACACTTGATGTTTAGCATTCAATAAAATAAAAAATAAAACCAATGTAATCTTGAGGGCTTTAAGCTAAAGAGTGTTTTTTTACTAAAAAATAATGAAAATAAACATATAGAATTCAACAGTTATGTTGAACTAACTTACTGAAAAAAATCATCTTCATTCACAAATAACAAACAACAACTTGGACTCGGACACTTTCCTTTCCCCTGAAGAGAACTGTCTCTGTGTGTGCTCGTGAACAGCCAGAGTTGTCATTCTCCAGTGGATAATACATTCGTACATTGTTAATACACAAGCAAAGAGGTTAAGTAAGTAAGTAAGTAAGTAAGTAAGTTTTTATTTATATACCGCCTTTTCACTGCAGATCAGAGTCTCAAAGCGGTTTACAATTGTTAATTTTGGGCATTTGTCTCTCACTCCACACAGAGATGGGAGCGGGGCCAGTACAGGAGGCGCATGCTAGAACTATTGGACATATTTTTAGTGGTAGGGGAAACCGGAGTACCCGGAGGAAACCTACGCAGACACGGGGAGAACATGCAAACTCCACTCAGAAAGGCCCTGGTCTGACCGGGATTCGAACCCAGGACCTTCTTGCTGAGAGGCCAGAGTGCTATCCACTCAGCCACCGTGCCGCCGTTAAACCAGTAAAACCCCTCACCAAAATGTATACACTCTTCTAACAACCTGAACTCATGACAAACCTGATCAATGTAGGTTAAAAACCAGGCATACACTGTAAAATACAGCCACAGAGGACACCGCTGTGAGGGAGGAGCAGGACTGAGGGCTACAAGACTGTCATGTTATACTATAATAATCTTTAATAATAATCTTTATTTGTATAGCACTTTTAAAAACAATGTTTAAAAGTGCTGCACAGTCAGCATAATAAAAAATAACATAATGCAAAGTCAAAATAATTAGATACATTCAGATACAAACACAAGAAGGGAGACACAACAAAGACAGAGCAGACATTAAAATAATGTGAAGTTTAAAACTAACAGTTAAAAGCTGTTTTATAAAAGCGGGTTTTAAGAAGAGATTTAAAAGAGGATACTGATGGAGCCTTATCTCCTCGGGTGGTTCCAAAGCCGAGGAGCCCGGACAGAGAAGGCTCGGTCACCTTTCGTCCGGAGCCTCGACCTTGGAACAGTCGACAGGGACCTGCCCGAGGATCTAAGGCTGCGGGGGGGGCTCGTAGGGGGTTAAAAGTTCAGAAATATAGCTTGGTGCCAGACCTAAACGAGCTTTAAAAGTAATCAGTAAAATCTTAAAATCAATTCTAAAACGCACAGGGAGTCAGTGGAGGGACGCTAAGACAGGGGTGATGTGCTCCCTTCTGTTAAAACCAGTGACAAGTCTGCTGCGTCTGGACCAGTTGGAGGCGGGAGAGGGATTTAGCGTCGAGACCGGAGAGGAGGGAGTTGCAGTAGTCGAGGCGGGAGAAGGCGGGTGAGGATGTTTTTAATCTTTGAGATTGTGCGGAGGTGATAGAAGCAGGTTTGGGTGGTTTTATTGATGTGGGAGCGGAAAGTGAGGTGAGAATCGAAAATGACACCAAGGTTACGGGCGGAGGGAGTGATGTTTGAGGACAGGGCCGAGGTGGGTTTGGATGTGGGATATAGATGGAGGCGGGTTGATGAGGAGGACTTCTGATTTGGAGGTGTTGAGCTGTAGAAAGTTATGGGCCATCCAACGGTTCACCTCATTAAAACAGTCGACCACAGCAGACAGACTCCAGGGTGGTTTGGTCTCAGCGGGAGGTAGATCTGTGTGTCGTCCGCCTAACAGTGGAAGAACACGTTATGACGGGCCATAACGTGTTCTAGGGGGAGCATATAAATAGAGAATGAAATGGGACCTAAAATAGAACCCTGCGGCACACCACAGGTGATGGGGGCTGTAGAGGAGGTGAAATCACCCATGGTGACCGCAAAGGTTTGTCTAAAAGATAAGAATGAAACCAGCCAAGTGCAGTTTCTCTGATGCCAACCCACGTTTTGAGGCGATCCAATAAAATCCTGTGGTCGATCGTGTCGAAGGCTGCACTTAGGTCTAAAAGAATTAAAATAGAGCACTCTCCGCTGTCTGTGGTTAAAAGTCATTTAAAACTCTAAGGAGGGCTGTCTCTGTACTGTGTTGTGCTTTAAAACCAGATTGGAATTTCTCAAAGATGTGGTTCTCATTAATAAAATCTAAAATATGTACAGAAACAATTTTCTCTAAAACTTTGGATAAAAAAGGAAGTTTTGAAATGGGTATAAAATTATTAAAATCAGTAGTACTTAAATTAGGCTTCTTTAAAAGTGGCTGGACCACAGCATGTTTAAAACTGGGTGGGACAAGACCTTGGTCCAGGGACTGATTAATGATTGATAAAATGGAGGGTCCAACCACATTAAAAACATCTTTGAGAAACTTGGTGGGGATGACATCGAGGCTGCACGTGGTTGGTTTCATGTGGGATAAAATGTCAGACTACAAGCTCTTATGAGAAGCACTTTGTAAAAATAAAAAGCCCACAAAAAAATCTGCAAAACAGGCCACGAAAGGCGTGTTTTAGTGAAGGGTTTCTATAAATGAAAACAGGATTATTCTTGTATCCGTCCATCCACAGTAGCATGTGGCACAGTGGTGTTTTTTAAACACATTTTTTGTATTTATTTGATCTTGTTTATTTTCTTTTTACAATAATGAACATTGGAAGTAACTAAATATTGCCTTCTTAAAGCTGCACTAACTGACTTTGATTTTTGAATGACAGCGCTGGGCTCGCTCTCTCTGCTCGCCCTCCCAGCACGGAGCTTCCCCCCCTCAGCCTCTGCTCATGCTAACTGTTTACGGAGCTCACGTCTCACATGGACACATTAGAACGTGGCGTGACCATAGAATGAATGAACCAGGAAGTGCGGAGGAACCAGACTTTCTTTTGTCTGTTTCTCTGAGTAAGCAGTAACCACAAAGACACAGAAGTTTCAGGTTAGCCTCCGCCGCTTGTTTACCTCAGCTGTCTGTGCTAACCACAGACCTGTGGCTTTTCTCAAGAAAGTGGGGGCCAGTGGTCCGCTGTGATTGGTCACAATCTGGACCCCAAACACATTCTCTTCCTTGTTTCACCAAAACTCGATCTAAAATAAAATGAAGCTCCAGCACAAATCTGCGCTACTTTTTCTTCAAAAGGACGTGTTTCCCAATGCACTGCATGGACATGGATTGGATTTAACTCATGAATACAAAAATAAAGTCAGGTAATGCAGCTTTAATCTTTACATCTGTCTTTACAGTGCTGTGTCATAGAGGCCGCAGTCTACACCCAGACTTCCCTCTCCATATTCGTCCTCCAGTTTATCGTGGGCATTCCCAGGCCAGGTGTGAGACACACTCAATCGTTTCCCAGGGCCTCCTCACGGTGAGACATCCTTCGGGAAACATCCAAGGCATATGCACAAGCATCAACTGATTCTTCCCAACGTGGACGAGCAGCGACTCTACTCTGAGCTCCTCCCACTTTCTCTGAGGGACACACAGCCACCGTGCAGCGAGAACTATTTCAATCCTCTTCTATCTGCCATCTTGTGCCAAGGGTCATGACCAGGATATGATTATATCCACATGCTGCAGAGTGAACAATGAGGAGCCACTCAGAATTACAATAAACATATGTTTTTCATGAAACAGAAAGCTGAATAGTCCAATAGGGATGCACCGATACCAAACCGATACGAGTACCTTAATAAGAGTAAATAGACTGAAATTATTGCATTGTGTTATCCCTGGGAATTCATAAAACTGATACAACTGAAATTTTTTATTTCTCATTTCAACAAAAAGATAAATAAGAACAATTCCATATTTTAGCAATTGTTTTAACAGTCAACAATAAGTGTCTAACAGGAAGTCAGTGGAGTACAGGGGTGATGTGGTCAACTGTGGGGGTCCGGGTGATGTGGTCAACTGTGGGGGTCCGGGTGATGTGGTCAGCTGTGGGGGTGATGTGGTCAACTGTGGGGGTCCGGGTGATGTGGTCAACTGTGGGGGTCCGGGTGATGTGGTCAGCTGTGGGGGTCCAGGTGATGTGGTCAGCTGTGGGGGTCCAGGTGATGTGGTCAGCTGTGGGGGTCCGGGTGATGTGGTCAGCTGTGGGGGTCCAGGTGATGTGGTCAGCTGTGGGGGTCCGGGTGATGTGGTCAGCTGTGGGGGTCCGGGTGATGTGGTCAGCTGTGGGGGTCCAGGTGATGTGGTCAGCTGTGGGGGTCCGGGTGATGTGGTCAGCTGTGGGGGTCCAGGTGATGTGGTCAGCTGTGGGGGTCCAGGTGATGTGGTCAGCTGTGGGGGTCCAGGTGATGTGGTCAGCTGTGGGGGTCCAGGTGATGTGGTCAGCTGTGGGGGTCCAGGTGATGTGGTCAGCTGTGGGGGTGGGGGTGATGTGGTCAGCTGTGGGGGTCCAGGTGATGTGGTCAGCTGTGGGGGTGGGGGTGATGTGGTCAGCTGTGGGGGTCCAGGTGATGTGGTCAGCTGTGGGGGTGGGGGTGATGTGGTCAGCTGTGGGGGTGGGGGTGATGTGGTCAGCTGTGGGGGTGATGTGGTCAGCTGTGGGGGTGGGGGTGATGTGGTCAGCTGTGGGGGTGATGTGGTCAGCTGTGGGGGTCCAGGTGATGTGGTCAGCTGTGGGGGTGGGGGTGATGTGGTCAGCTGTGGGGGTGGGGGTGATGTGGTCAGCTGTGGGGGTGATGTGGTCAGCTGTGGGGGTCCAGGTGATGTGGTCAGCTGTGGGGGTCCAGGTGATGTGGTCAGCTGTGGGGGTGGGGGTGATGTGGTCAGCTGTGGGGGTCCAGGTGATGTGGTCAGCTGTGGGGGTGGGGGTGATGTGGTCAGCTGTGGGGGTGGGGGTGATGTGGTCAGCTGTGGGGGTCCAGGTGATGTGGTCAGCTGTGGGGGTGGGGGTGATGTGGTCAGCTGTGGGGGTCCAGGTGATGTGGTCAGCTGTGGGGGTCCAGGTGATGTGGTCAGCTGTGGGGGTCCGGGTGATGTGGTCAGCTGTGGGGGTGATGTGGTCAGCTGTGGGGGTGGGGGTGATGTGGTCAGCTGTGGGGGTGGGGGTGATGTGGTCAGCTGTGGGGGTGGGGGTGATGTGGTCAGCTGTGGGGGTCCAGGTGATGTGGTCAGCTGTGGGGGTGGGGGTGATGTGGTCAGCTGTGGGGGTGATGTGGTCAGCTGTGGGGGTCCAGGTGATGTGGTCAGCTGTGGGGGTGATGTGGTCAGCTGTGGGGGTGGGGGTGATGTGGTCAGCTGTGGGGGTGGGGGTGATGTGGTCAGCTGTGGGGGTGGGGGTGATGTGGTCAGCTGTGGGGGTGATGTGGTCAGCTGTGGGGGTGGGGCTGATGTGGTCAGCTGTGGGGGTGGGGGTGATGTGGTCAGCTGTGGGGGTCCAGGTGATGTGGTCAGCTGTGGGGGTGATGTGGTCAGCTGTGGGGGTGGGGGTGATGTGGTCAGCTGTGGGGGTGATGTGGTCAGCTGTGGGGGTGATGTGGTCAGCTGTGGGGGTGATGTGGTCAGCTGTGGGGGTGGGGCTGATGTGGTCAGCTGTGGGGGTGATGTGGTCAGCTGTGGGGGTGGGGGTGATGTGGTCAGCTGTGGGGGTGGGGGTGATGTGGTCAGCTGTGGGGGTGGGGGTGATGTGGTCAGCTGTGGGGGTGATGTGGTCAGCTGTGGGGGTGATGTGGTCAGCTGTGGGGGTGATGTGGTCAGCTGTGGGGGTGGGGCTGATGTGGTGAGCTTTGGGGGTGATGTGGTCAGCTGTGGGGGTGATGTGGTCAGCTGTGGGGGTGGGGGTGATGTGGTCAGCTGTGGGGGTGATGTGGTCAGCTGTGGGGGTGATGTGGTCAGCTGTGGGGGTGGGGGTGATGTGGTCAGCTGTGGGGGTGGGGCTGATGTGGTCAGCTGTGGGGGTGGGGGTGATGTGGTCAGCTGTGGGGGTGATGTGGTCAGCTGTGGGGGTGATGTGGTCAGCTGTGGGGGTGGGGGGGCTGATGTGGTCAGCTGTGGGGGTGATGTGGTCAGCTGTGGGGGTGGGGGTGATGTGGTCAGCTGTGGGGGTGATGTGGTCAGCTGTGGGGGTGATGTGGTCAGATGTGGGGGTGGGGCTGATGTGGTGAGCTTTGGGGGTGGGGGTGATGATGCGAGCTGCAGAGTTTGAGGAGCTGCAGTTTCTGGAGGATTTGTTGGGGAGGCCATCATATTCCTTTGAAAGGAGGAGCATCTTCACTTCAGTAAATATGTTAAATTCAAAAACTAATCCTAAGTGACAAAGTGTGGACTTTTACTTGTCCTTAGGCAAAAGTCAAAAATAACATGATTTGTTGTTGTTAGTCCATTGTCTGTCTTCCTGTGTTCTGCAGAAGGCCCTACATGGCTGAAACGTGTAGCTCATCCTTGTTGATTAAAGGATTTTTGTTTAGTATCAAGAGAGCCTCGGCTTATGTAATTATGTTTGTCACATTTGAGTTCATACTGACAAAGCAGAATTTAGAAGCTTAGAAGCCAGAGGGACAGTGGATGGAGAACAGCAAAGCCAATACTTTAAACAGTTCGCTTCTCCCTCCCTCTCCATCTGCCCCCCTTCCCAACCCCACCTCTTCCCACGTCTCGAGCCCAGTGGGCACTGCCTTCAACTGCCCCAAGCCCCCTCCTCTGACAGTACACCTCCCCCCCACTCTCCCCTCTCCATCACACCGGACCAGGTGAGGAGTCTGAAGCGTCTGAAGCAGAGGAAATCCGCAGGACCGGACGGGATCAGTCCCAGGCTGCTGAGGACCTGTGCAGACCAGCTTTCTGGGGTCTCTGGGGGTCTCTCTCTGAGGCTGAGGTCCTTCTGAGGAGGCTGAGGTCCTTCTGAGGAGGCTGAGGTCCTTTGGAGTGAGCAGGCCTCTGCTCAGGACTTTTTATGACTCTGTGGTAGCTTCTGCCATTTACTACGCTGCCGTGTGCTGGGCCCCGGGCAGCACAGAGCAGGACAGAAACAGACTGAACAAGCTGGTCAGGAGGAGGTGAGGGACAGGAGGCCCCTGGACTCTGTGGAGGAGGTGAGGGACAGGAGGCCCCTGGACTCTGTGGAGGAGGTGAGGGACAGGAGGCCCCTGGACTCTGTGGAGGAGGTGAGGGACAGGAGGCCCCTGGACTCTGTGGAGGAGGTGAGGGACAGGAGGCCCCTGGACTCTGTGGAGGAGGTGAGGGACAGGAGGCCCCTGGACTCTGTGGAGGAGGTGAGGGACAGGAGGCCCCTGGACTCTGTGGAGGAGCTGAGGAGCTCCTTCAGTGGAAGAAGGAGCAGGGCCTTTATCCCCACCGCTGTCAGACTGTACAACAAGTCACTTTAAGTCACTAGGAATCTTTCTTTTATTGCCACTTTTTTATTGTACATAAATATATCCTGCACAGACAATATTTTTAACCTTTTAACATATTTGCACTCTTCTGTCTTTTGCACAATCTAGTATTTTAAAGAAAAGTAAGTAAAGTATTTTACAAGTCTTAAAGTTCCAAGATCAGCAAAAGTAAGATAATGGAAAGGAGATGATTTAGTTGGTTTGAGCAGATATGACTAATACAGTATACTTACACAAAACAAATGATTTTGAAGAATAAATAGAGTTCACCTGACCCTTACATTACAATAGGCTCCTCCTCCTGGGGCCGGGACTCTGAGGTCTATCCTAGTTTAATAAAAGTCTATAAATTATTCAAGGGTATTATTTACACCAATATGTTGATGTTTGTAAATTGTTACTTGGAGCAGAACCCAAAAATGTTCTACGAATGAACCTTTTCCATATTTTATTTTAGTCACAAGACTTTCATGTAGTTCCCAGCAGACAGACACCGTGTGTTCTTAACTGTAATTATAATAAACAGTATAAGTGCACAGACTCGATACATTTTATAATAACATTCTACATTCTTGATGGAAACGAGAGTTCCCGAAGCCCCCGTAATGACTCTCCATAAGTGAGCAGTGTGCAGCCTGTGGCACCAGGGAGCCGCCGGCTCCTGTGGCACCGTGCTCCGGAGACTTGTACTTCAACAGTATCTGATGCAACTCAATGAGAAGCGCATCATTAATTTGAAATAAAAAATAAAAGACAAACTCGCAGCGACTTTGGTCCTTGTTGCATCAGAAAGCTAAGCCAGAACAAAGACTTTGAACGAGTTTGGCTTTCATGGCTTTGTCTATAGCCCTGATCTCTAATGAGCAATATTCTCATTTACACTTCTGATCTAAACAGTAGCTACAGCTGACAGGAAACCTACAGCTTTTACAAAAATCAGATTTTGTGTATAGGGAAGTCTGGCCGTCTCTGCTTAGACAGCTGACCCCCGCAAACCGCCAACAAATGAAGGGGAAGTAAATGGATGGAAGGATGGACTAGTCCTAAATAGGTGCAAAAGTTTGGACACATTTAAGCACTTTGTAAGGACTCCAACATCTGCAGGGGTTAACCTGAGTAGGATTTCCAAAGCAATCACTATTGAGATGCTTTGGTCACAGTGGAACAAGGCGGACACATGAATAATACACAGAAACTATATTTGAGGCGCACCACAGTATTAAAAACATCAACTTCACATCATTTACATATTCATGCATCACAAGCTCACAACATCTGTTTTAATTCAGCTTTTTCACTTTTACTTTGATCTCAATAAAGGGTCCTACTTTCTACATACTTGAATCCACCGTGTGTAATCTTTACAGCTGCTCCATATGAAAAAACATGTTAAATAATAACAAATGTGACTTTTTAAGAATATTTACCTCCACCATGATTTTTTAATTGTTTTCATAGGCTCAGAATTTAAATTATAAATGTCCATGAGAGAGCAGTGCTCTCACTGAATATGCGCCATCTTGGAAAACGGTGGTGGATAAGGACAAAAAGGAGAGAATCGTGTTTTAGAACAATCACAAAAAACAGGTTCCTTTGTGCTTCTACTGGAGTCTGTTCTGTTCAGATAAACATCAAACAAAGCTGACCACTGTTGTTTATCACACACATTGTGTTCATTATTGTGCAGCGCTAACACAAGCCTTCATACAACACTTTTAAAGGTGCACCGTGTAATATTTAGTGATGTTGACACTTTGTTGCAATGACGCCGCACTTCTGCATCATTCATTTTTTCTAAAAGATTGTTGTTCGGATCATTCTTTTATATAACTGTGGTCCTTCATGGTTCTTTCTTCCAACATGTGAAGTCACAGTGAAACCAACGTGGACCACAGTTATATAGAAGAACCACAGAGGACCAGAGTTATATAAAAGAACCATGGAGGACCAGAGTTATATAAAAGAACCATGGAGGACCAGTTATATAAAAGACAATTTTTTAGAAAATAATAATAATGCAGAAGTCCAGCGTATATACAGGTGCGTTTAATAGTCCATTAAGTACTTTATTTGCCTCAATAGAATTAATGTATCTTTATACAATTTAAGTTTCTTTGCAAGATTTACTTCTGCAACACATTGTCTCCTGAAACCAAAGTTGGGGCTGTATGATTAATTACAATCAAGTTGAAATTTGTGCCATTATCGATAGTTTTTTGTAAATTAAATAATTGGGGAAAAGGTCTTACCATTTGTCAACAGAATATGGACAGTTCAAGCATGTATATATGTTTGACATTTTAGCAGTAAATCATTGTAGGAAAATGTTTTGTCATATGAACGTTTTCTGAAATGTATGGGAGTTGTATATGAGGTAATACTTTTACAAATGGAACTCTTCCAGTTATTATTCATAAGAAAAGGAAACATACAGTAAGATATTGAAAAGTACGTCGCAATCGCAATATTGGTCAAAAATGTGCCTAGAAACCTGCAGCCCTAGCCAAAGTTCCACATTTTAAAACTGATCTCATTCTCACCTGGATTGGTTATTTCCACATTGAATATGGAGGAAACCCCACTCTGCCAATCAGTCTGTGTTTCAACATGCATAAGATAAGATAAGATAAGATAAACCTTTATTAGTCTCACAGTGGAGAAATGTCAGTGTCATCGTTGCACATTACAGCAGAGAAAGGAAATAAGAGCACTCAGATTGCACACATCAAAGTCTATTATTTAAGATAATAGACAATAAATAAAGATTAAGATAAATTTAAGATAAAATAAAATAAAATAAGATAAACTCTGGGCTATAATTGCACTTGGTTCGGAGTATTTACAGATGTCTATATTATACATTAGCAGCGGAGAATATGAGCAGAATAAACATCAGAAATAATATCAACAGGTAAAGTGACTTGAATGGGAGAATTATCAGATATGAATAATACAGTAATACTAAAAACAGGATCAACCAGCAGCTACAAATGTATTACTCATTATAATGCAAATGTGACTCAATAAAGGCCAATGTCAAGTTTATTTGTATAGCACATCCTCACACAGGAGTTAAAAGCTGTGCCTTATCCATAACTATGTGGAAGCAATGGACACATTATTAGCATTATTATTACCATTGTTATATTTTGGGTAATTTCAATGTCCAACTGCATTTGAATTATTCAGAATATATTTGAATAATAAAACACTATTTTCATTATTTTATAAAATAAATTATTAAAAGAAAACATTTCTATCTCCAGTACAGGCCTTGCTTGTGAGGGGTGCGATAAGAGAAAAGTCAATCAGTTTGAGCATTTTTATTATTATTCTTTCTTTTTCAATATCTTTTTTTGTTTTAATTAATCATGTGTAACTGTAAGGAGATCAGGCCTCATGCGTAATCTAGATTAGAGTACTTTTTCACATGCAGAATCCTTTCTACAGTATGTGCCCTACATTTTACCTACTTTTGTGCTTTAAGTGCACATACATACGTTGAATGAAGCCATGTTAAAGCTGGGGTACCTAAAACAATTAAACAATGTAAGTAAGTTCCTATAGCTCTAAAACAGTTCGCTTCTCTCACTAGTTTCCTCTGTCACATATTAGATCAGCTTTTTCAGAAAGAAAAGTGAAAAAGAGGACCACTGTCACTCATCTTTCAGTCAAAGCCTCGAATAGTCACTCACAGTATTTGTAATAACATGAAGACAGTCTGTTGTGCTCCGTTTTAGTCACAACATTTTACTTTTACAAGGCTTTTTTCTGTTGGGAAAAACAACATGCATTAATTATGAAAAAAGAAAGTAAGGTACCTCAGCTTTAAGTAGTATACATGCTCATTCCTTGTGTTATGAATGTTTTAAAGCAACCTTTACCAGTGAGATAAGCCGTATTTGAAACCTGTTCACATACAGACAACCATAACAACAACTTTCTTTAGTTACCCCTTTTTTGCCATAAACAGCACTTACCAATTCTGAGGACTTGTGCTGAAGCGAGGCAAACGTGTGTGCCAAAGTGAAGCAGCAAAGACAACAGTCCCCTTTGTGGCGCCATGGTCCTCCCTCCGGGGCGCAAGTCATTCACATTCGCGCTGCGGCTTCGAGCATCTCATAACGCTACTTTTCTCTCCAAATATCCAAAAGGAAATGCGCTCCTCTCCCGCATCCTCCCTCCGCACATGCCGGTCGTGTAACTCTGCAACACGTGCAAAAGTCATACGTGGACGTCCAGGTGAGGGTCAGAAGAGTGGGAAAGACTCCATCCCCGTGCGTAATCTGTGCGTAAAAGTCAGTGTGCGCTCCGCACAGGCATCGCTGAGTGGACGGCTGAGGCACACACTAAAGACGGGCTTGTGATTGGGATCATGAGAAGTGCTGTGGAGTACAGTGCTTCTGGTCAGGCCTTTCACAATAAGAGCAGGAGGATGTCCTTATTCTGTTATATAATATTTCTTATAAAGGTAAAATGTTGTGATCAGACCACAACATGCTATCTTCATCTAACTGTAAAACGTTTTCCTTTTTATTATTAATAATTATTATACTAACTGATAAAATCACCCTGTTTTGAGAGCAAGGAACAAGATGTGAGAAAAACAGTTGAAAAAAGATTTATTCATTCATTCATTTTCTACCCCTTTATTAGTCCATTTCTGGGGGGGGGGGAGCAGTGAAAACTGCCTATGCTCAAAGCACCGGTCCCTCTGATCCTCCTGCAGGTGGTGGGTGACGTCCACGGGGAGATGGCTGCACCGTCAATGGTGACACAGCCTTGTGGTGCTTTCAGACCGGCAACGCTGAAACGCACATTATCTAGTTTTCAGACCAGAAGTCCTGGCGCGCGCTGGAAGTGGCGTAAGTAGCCGGCAGGCTATGATGCTAACAGAGTTTAGCTAGCGGGTTCTTGTGTACAGATCTTCTCCAATACTGCAGCTTTGCAGCGTGTCTGTGTTCAGAGACCTTCCACAGACTTTATATAACAGCAGTATGTGTTCACGAAGGTGCGCAATAAGTTTATTTTATTATTAAATAAATGGCAAGAGCTCTGGTGTGTGTCGTCTTCTCTGTCTGGTGCACACCGGGGTAGTCTTGCACAGTTTTTCCAATGTGGTTTTACTGCAAATGGCAAATAAATGAATCTGAATCTGAATCTGAATCTGAAATGGTACTTCCGTATCGGCGAACACGCTCGAAGCAGTTGCATAAAGTCACGGGAGCATGAAAACTCACATGTTAACAAGCACTATCCCCCCATTGTCAACCCTAGTTTAGTCCTGGTTTAGTCCTGGTTTAGTCCTGGTTTAGTCCTGGTTTAGTCCTGGTTTAGTCCTGGTTTAGTCCTGGTTTAGTCCTGATGTAGCTTCTGTTTTGGCTGTTTACAGTATGTTCAGTCTGCTCGCTCAGTCGCTAATGTCCCCGTGACCACTTTGCGGCTCTCTGATTGGTTGCTGCACAAACGTCCCAAGGAAAGGTTGAACAAAATTTATCTCCTGCGTTCCTCCGCTTCGACTTCCCAGCGGGGTCCGTGCGTGCATTCCGAGACGTTCGTGCGTTTTTACGCTCGAACGCGCGTCACCATTGACTTTGAATTGAAAGCCGACGCAGCATGATCCGGTCTGAACGCAGCATTAGTCTTTTAGAGGGGAATTCGGCCAATGTGGGGTTAAGGGTTTTGCCCAAGGACACAACGACAGCAGATATCAGTGGGGGCAATTGGAGAAGGTCTTGTGGGGGGATCGAATTCACGACCTTCAGGCCCAAGGGCCAATGCTCTACCAACTGAGCCGCCGTCATTGCGGTGAAATGAAAAGATACTGTATATCACCGCGAAGCACTGGGGATTCATCACACTCAGGAACAATGCCGTGAAAAGTAACATAAAACTGAAGAAGGACTATAAAAATCTCAAAGACCACAACCGGAGCAGTTCCCACCGTAAAAAAATAATTATTTACTGCGTGGCAATCGAAACTCATGCCGTTGCCGAGGGGTCCTACTACCTCTCCTTTTACCAGGAACTCCCGGCAGTGGACTCGCGACTACTGTCTGCTCTGGGAGAAACCAGGTGTTGTCTCTGTAGGAGTCTTCAGACTTATGTTCTGATAATCACAGAGGACGTCTGTGATCTCAGTCTTGTGCGAATGCGCCATGTTTGTAATTTGTAAAGTAATAATTCCGCCGCAAATGACCTCCTGTATTTGTCCAAACAGAGACGTCCTGTGATACTAATCCCGTGAGAATCTGCATGTCAGTGAATGTGATCGCTATTGCCGCTTTCTCTTTACTTTCTGCGTTGTTTTTGTCAATAAGATGAGGAGTCGCGTATCGCAGCTGTGTACACAGCTGCAGAGTCGCGGCTGCTGCTGTCTCTGTGAGGTCTATGGAAAAGTGTAGGACAGTGTAATGTGTTCACTGACACTAAATGATCAGACCGATGGGTTGTGTTCGTACCTTTACTCTGCACTCTACAACTACAGTACAGACGTGCGTTACTATTTGATGTGCGTATGTTAGTATTTGGGGCGTTCATGGGTAGTCCGTACAAAAAGTGTTGTTTAAACATTACGGAAAGTACAGGCCAGAGAACTGTAGAGCAGTAAAATCCACATGTATGTGTTTGTCCTCATGGTGTCTGTGGCTGCTGTGGTCAGACGTCAGACTTTATGAACTGCGTGAAGCGGAGAGACCCGCGCACGTGAGCTGTCAGTGAAAATTATAGACATTGCTTATCCCGTGCAAATGGGCTGTCAGATTTCAGTCGTTCTCCGTGATTATCACAAATTACCAGGGGTCCCCATGTAAAACTAATCCCGTCCGAACAGGGCTAAAGCTGTAGGACCCGATGCTGGAAACAGATACCCACATTTTAAAGGTCAGCAGCGAGAAAGCAAGCTAACGGCAAGCGGACAGGATGTCGGCCGTATGCGTATGGCAGTTTTAAAGTAAACAAGAGTGCCAAGAGTATGTGGACTACATTGTGTAAGGCAAAAATGTCACGGGGTGAGTCCAAAACAAACATGTATGCCGCCGGCTACTTGAGCAAAGATCTGAAAACTCACCACTGTGCAGAGTATAGCTCACCGAAGCTGGCTGCCAACCAACTGTGGAATAAACTTTGGAGAAGCGAGAAAAGTTAGTGACAGTTGCTCTTTTTATCCCTACCCAACTGAATCCATATTATTTTTCAATTGGATTAATGTTTTTAGAACATTGAAGACAATCTCAGCAGGCTGCTGGGCGATATGATCTAAACACATGTGAAAATATACTACAAGCACAACTATACTTAACTACAGCCTGATTTTTAGGATTAAACTGAATTCAGAAGAGAAAGGAAGAGCCTTTTGCTGTGTGGGAGCTGTCCATGGTGCTTATGTCTCTCGTAACATGTGTGCACTCAATATAATGTTAACCAATTGGGGTTAAACTGATATTGGTTGGATTGGACAGATGTCGGTGCAGTTCCACGCAGTCATTACCCACTACTACCCAGATTGCCTAGTGTGAATCTGCAATCTGGTGTGTACATGGTTGTAGGTGCTCGGCAAACTTGTAGATCATTCTAGATCATTCCAACCAACGATTTTGGTCAGAATAATTTTGCGTGATGACCATTTTCTTCCGCTTCATCCGTTGCCGGGTCGCGGGGGCAGCAGTCTAAGCAGAGACGCCCAGACTTCCCTATCCACACACACTTCCTCCAGCTCGTCCGGGGGGACCCCAAGGCGTTCCCAGGCCAGCTGAGAGACATAGTCTCTCCAGCGTGTCCTAGGTCTTCCCCGGGGCCTCCTCCCGGTGGGACGGGCCCGGAACACCTCCCCAGGGAGGCGTCCAGCCACCTCAACTGGTTCCTCTCGACATGGAGGAGCAGCGGCTCTACTCCGAGCTCCTCCCGTGTGACTGAGCTCCTCACCCTATCTCTAAGGGAGCAGCGGCTCTACTCCGAGCTCCTCCCGTGTGACTGCTTGTATCCGCGATCTCGTTCTTTCGGTCATTACCCAAAGCTCATGACCATAGGTGAGGGAGGGAACGAAGATTGACCGATAAATCGAGAGCTTTGCCTTTCGGCTCAGCTCCCTCTTTACAACGGTCCGATACAGCTCTGACTGCAGACGCTGCTCCCTCTTTACCACAACGGTCCGATACAGCTCTGACTGCAGACGCTGCTCCCTCTTTACCACAACGGTCCGATACAGCTCTGACTGCAGACGCTGCTCCCTCTTTACCACAACGGTCCGATATAGCTCTGACTGCAGACGCTGCTCCCTCTTTACCACAACGGTCCGATACAGCGACCGCATCACTGCGCACGCTGCACCGATCCGCCTGTCAATCTCACGCTCCATCCTTCCCTCACTCCTGAACAAGACCCCGACATACTTGAACTCCTCCACTTGAGGAAGGACCTCTCCACCCACCTGAAGAGGGCAAGGCACCTTTTTCCGGTCGAGCACCATGGCCTCAGATTTGGAGGTGCTGATTCTCATCCCAGCCGCTTCACACTCGGCTGCAAACCGTCCCAGTGCATGCTGCAGGTCCTGGTTCGTTGGAGCCAACAGGACAACATCATCCGCAAACAGCAGAGATGAAATCCTGTGGTCCCGTGATGACCAATATAGATTTTTTAGAAACACCATTTATTGGATGGATAAGTTTAATGGATGAAGAGAACATGTTGCGGACTGATTTGTTCAAAACTATTGTTAAAATAGTTACCTTAAAATGCGTCTCTATGCTTTATTATGACACACGCATTTCCCCGGTCACCTCAGCTGATTGCCCGCTTGACTACGCCTTGGCTTGGCTCAGCTCAGTCCCGTGCGGGTGCTCTATTGAGGCCACGGTCAGGCTGCTGCTGCTGCCGCTGATCCACGAACATGGATACGTCCTGAAGATTAACATCAAATCTGGCCACGCACGACCCCCGACAAACGTCTTTGCTGCGGTACACCGAGGAATGATTAAATCAGAATCAGAATCAGAATCAGAATCATTTTTATTGCCAACGTAAGTAACGGGAGGTCACAGACTTGGAAATTGCTTTGGCTCAGTGCAACAGTCAAAAAGAGATAATAAAAATAAGAATAAAAAACACTTCTAAAGAATAAATTTAAATTTAAAATAGAGTTACAGTCAAATCTTTGCTTGAGTCCTGATGGAAGCGCAAATCTAATCTGTCTGTGTGCGTGTGTATGTGCGCGTGTGTGTGTGTTTGTGTGTGTGTATGAGTGTACGTGCGTGTGTGTGTGTGTGTGTTTGGGTGTGTTTGGCTGCGGAAGATTAGTTTGCATAGTGTCGCTGTCTTGTGTGCGTCTTTCCTCCCCATGCGCTTGACTTCTTCACCCGAGAAAACAGAGCTGCTTCCTCCATGTAACCTGGCAAAAGCCAGATTGATGATTGTGTAGAACTCTAACGCGTTCTCCGCGATATCAATCTGGGATTTCTCCCGGAGAATCCTTTCGGGGAAAGGAGGGGTAAGCAGCAGAATACTTGAAGCTGATTGGGCGAAGTGACGCTGTGTGCCCGCCTACCAAGGTTGCCGTCCAGAAATGTACAAAGCGCCTCTCGCTGTTCATCTTTCAAAAAAGAAATTGGAGATTCTGCTAAAACTGACTTTGCGTCCGTCCTCCTGCGTAGCCATGTTTGTTTTGCTTCGGCCCGGCACTTCTTGCTTTCGTCAAACCCGGATATCCCGCCCTAAACCCCCAGACTGGCGCGTGATTGGCTCGCACACCCAGTGGTTCGACTCAAAAAGTGTAAGCGGGAGCGGTACAAGATGTATTCTCGAGTGTTTGTGAACTCACAAATACCGCGAGAATTCAGCTTGCAGGCAAGGTTATCCTCCATGGGCCGCGGGACAAACTGAGTGGAGAGAAGAGCACTCCCATTCCAACCCACTCCCATTCCAACCCACTCCCAGAGGAAGAGGAGAAATGGAGAAGAGGAGATAGACACAGCGGGCCATGAGGACATTGATTCGTTACTATACAGCACTGGATTAAAGCGCACCTGGATACAAGGGGCACCAGCTAAATGTTGTCCATATCAGTCAATCACTCGATAAATCAAGTTTATTTATAACGTAACAAAAGTGCGGACAGTCGTACACATTTACAAACATAAAACAAATGAGATTAAAAAAAAATATTTTGTATAGAGTAAAACTAATAATTCTATAAACTTTGATAAAGCACTAATCAAGCTGAATATAGTCCTGTGTATTTTTTCCTTGCCCCAGGAAATATTCTACCATAATAAATATGCCTGAAAAATGTTTTTTGAATCAAACGTATCTGTTTGAAATGGATTCTTTATGATGCTGATGTTCTGTCTTTTTAGCCTCTGACGATACATTTATTTATAATTAAGTGGGAACAATCTCTGCAGAGAGGAAGATGAAACTCCAAAGTGGCCTATATGAACATTTCAAAGCACTTTGGGTGACCTTTATAAAAAAAGATGATTTACTTACTTACATATTCAACTTTGGAACAACTGGTGTGGGCTCGGCTTCTTAGATTAAAGAGTCATAAATGTAAGAGAAAATCAGATAGAGGGTCGATCTGGAAAGATTTGGAAGTAACTACAGTATCATGTTCCTGCTTTGTTTTAAAATTAGCTTAAATATATTTGATTGTATATGGATTATAACTGTCAATGCAGAGGTGGATAACTTTGTTTCTGTGGGACTGATAAAGGTATATGTGTGCAGAGATAATTGGACTGATAAAGGTATATATGTACAGAGATAATTGGGTCACACAAAGGACTATTTTTGCTAAATTGTTAAACTTGTATTTTCTTCACACAATGCATAGGGGCAGATTTATCAATAAAATGTGATTAGGCCAAAAAATTTGCAACTGGTCAAAACATTTACAATTATAGTATGTACAACATTTACAATAGAGTGAGTCAATCTGCTTCACACACACACAATTTGTTTTAACTCAACAACAGCTTTAACCGGAAAGACCATAGATTTAGTTTACACAGTATACTGTCCACTTCATCTGTTTCACAATATGCTTAATACGTTAATCTTCACATGTCGTAATGCATCCAACGAGCCTGGGCGTCGTGTAGCGTCTTCCCATCAGAAAATGATGCTCAGAAATGTACTCAAAACTTCAGGATAAAGTATTGCAGGGTTCTTGGCAGCGCGTTCTGAAAAGCCCCTAAACTGCAATTTTTCCCCAGATGCTGTGATTTTATACCCACAGTTTTTGTTTTAGTTGCTCTAATTAATTGGACACTTTTATAATAATCAACAATGTCAAAATGTCATGTCAATGTCATTCATTGGTTGGGTAAGCAGACCTGCCGCATCTTATCCTTTCATCACAGCTAAAACTTGTTATTTTTATTTTTACAGTAAACAGGGCTGGAGTAGTTTCGAGTAGTCTCAGAACTCAGCACTCAAACAAAGGTCATAAACATGTCAATGAGTTGAAGTTCTGAGCCCACTAGACAGATTGTAAGGTTTCTGATTTTTCACAAACCTTTTCTTACCCTTTTTCAGTTCTAAAACATATAATGCAGACTTAAAGAAACTCCAGACAATATTTGAAAACATCAGATATACATCCCTGAGCTAGCCACGCCTGGACGCTGCACGATTGACGTATTATATCCAATGAAAACTGGAGTTTGTGGAACAGGGTAGTAGCTGGACTGATACGACGTTGAAGGGTTGCCTGTTTGCGTGGTTTGTGATAATGGCATGGAGCTTTGGCTTATGTAGACTGAATTCCCCGGAGTAAACATGCTTTGTGGATGGTTGGAACTGCTCATGGAGGACTGGTGGGCCAAGTTAGCCTGGTATTGCAACGATGCGCTTCCAGGCAAGCTCTGGTTATAAGCTATCGGGCCGTTGAAATGTCCAGGGTTGAATTGCAATCCGTGGCTGGGTGGGATAGGCACTTGATTCGGATTTTGCTTGTAACGTTTCAATTCTACTGGGTGGTAGACGTCGAACGAACCTTTTTCTGACGGGATCTTTCTACATAGGAACAACATTGCTGATGCAAAAAGGACAGCACCTGTCACCCATCCGATATAAAGAGCTTCGCCGAGCTCTCGTCTTTGAGCGTCAATCAGCAATGGGTTGTAAAAGTCGCGTATGATGACATGGCCAGTCCAAGAGACAGGAATGAAGACGCAGATGCTAGCTGAAAGTTGCATTCCGCCTGCTACCATCAAAACAATTGTCTTGGCGCGTTTATTAGTCTGGAAACAATTCACACACCTCATTCCGGCAAACGCCACACAAAGGCCCAATCCGGACAAAGCGAGGGAGCAGCACATGAGTCCCCTGGAGGCTTGTAGCTCCGGAGGCAAGAACAGGAGCGAATCGTACACTTTGCATTGCATACGGATGTTTGCCTGGCGGAAGCAGTTCATCCAAAGACCTTCCCAGCGAGTTTCCATCACAATTATGTTTTCGCCAATGAACGCAGTCACCTTCCACATGGGCATGCCGGTAGTGGCCGCAGCTCCAAGGAGTCCAAGAATTCCAACGCACACGGCGGCCAGGTCGGAGACGCCTTGGATCATGGTGGCGGATGAAAATAAAAGGCCAAATTTAGCTGTCCGTTGTTGAAGAGATGTGAAGGTGTGCAGAGGAACTGAGTTGTGTGATGGGAAAGTTGGTTGTTTTGGGTAAAACAAAGCTTCTGGTTGGTTAAGGAGATAAGGGACAAGAGGATCTCTGTTTGTTTACTGTTTATAGTCATAGCTATAGTGGTTTGTACTTTGCAGTGTATCATATTTGTTGGTCTTAAGGATTTATTCTACATATAGCAAAACTAGTACTTTTTAGTTCAATCCTCTCTGATGGAAACATTAAAATGAGGAAGTATAAGTGTCGTCCCTCTAACCTGATCCTATGACACATCCGCAGTATTCACATGACTCTTTGACCACAGGCACAACCACAGAGCAGCTTTTTACACAGTATGTTTCGTGACAAACGGCAAATGCGATATTTTAAATGTAGAACTTATAATCAGAAGAAAGCTGGGTATCCAAGCTATCAATAACATATTTGTTTATTTAAAAGATTGTGTTTATTAAAGGGACAGTATGTAATGTGCACTTTGAGTGGTCTGATAAAGTCATTACCAACAACTACCATTCCCACTTTTGTCCCCAGTCTTCCTGACAGTGACTCATGTAACTGCTAAGCACTTTTTACATATTGAATCCACCTGCTGGAGTTTAGAAACTTTAAAAACTAGCTACACTTTTTGTTGTATAAAAGAAGAGGGCACCAGGATCAGCTAAATTTCACCTAACTTCATTCTTCTCTCTGATTTGATAATCTACTTAATAATCGTAAACATAGATATTTCAAACATTGTGTCCATTGTAATTTTAATCAAGAATAACTCCAGTTCAGAAAAGGTCAACTCTGATGTGTGCATGAATAAAAACAATAATTTTTAAAAATTAAAAATGATAAAAAACATACTGTCCTTGTGCTGTAAATACACTGGATTGGGCTCATGGATTTATACCCTGAACTATTGTACATAATAATAATAAATCGGTTTTATATAGCACTTTTTTTGATACTCTTTCTCCCAAACACGGTGGTGATAAACTACTACTGTAGCCACAGCTGCCCTGGGGCACACTGACAGAAGCGAGGCAACCAGTCTGTGCCATCGGCCCCTCCCACCACCACCAACCATTCACACACACACCAGACTCATTCTAGGCAATGGGGTGAAGTGTCTTGCCCAAGGACACAACGACAGCAGACAGTGGGAGTCGATGGTGAAGGTCAGGCTCGAACCCACGTCCTTCTGGGTCAAAGGCCAATGCCAACTGAGCTACTGTCGCCCTGTATGTGTTCAGTGGTAGGGGAAATTGGAGCACTCAGATTAAGCCTATGCACACACGGGGAGAACATGCAAACTCCAAACAGAAATGCCCTGTCTGACCCAATAATCGAACCCAGGACCTTATTGCTGTGAGCTAACTGCTGCTCCACCATGCAGAAATATTATGCAAATTTTAAGCATTTGCATAAATAGGTTATTACTGTTATTATTGCTTGATTTTGTGTTAGAAGAATAATGACGGACTCTGTGCATTTTTAAAGAAGATCCGGAACTTCTATAGAAACAGGACAGTTGTAAGTTGAGCACAAGAGATCCTTGGACAGTGATCCTGAAGTGGAGTGACCACCTGTCCTCAGTCCCAGAAAACCATTAGCGTGCAGCCAATAATCTGCACTGTAATAAAAAAGAAAGATATTGTAAAAACGCAACATGATATTATTGATCGCATGAAAAAAATAATTTTATGTTAAAATCACAATAAAAATAATGTAATCTGAGAAACAAAATATTTTAGTTGAAATTACTCTAATTATGTGATTATTATCAAATCACAAAAACTGTGTGACTCATATCTAAATAATTTAGTTAAAGTGACTTTAAAATAAGGGGCAACAGTAGCTAATTGGCCTTTGAGCCTAAAGGTTGTGGGTTCGAGCCCACCATGAGACCTTCTCCACTGACTCCCACTGATGACTGCTGTCGTTGTGCCCCTGGGCAAGACTCTTAACCCCACTTAGTCTGAAGCCCCCAGATCTCAGGAGGATCAGGGAGGGGCTGGTGCTCTGTGGACTGGGTGGCATCTCTGACATTAATGGACATTAAGATATTGTAAAATATAAAAAATATTTAAGGTTTATTTCAAATAATAGAGAGACTGAGAGAAAAACAGATTGTGATGAGAACTATGAATCTTTTTATTTTAAAATGTACTGTGCTTTCACATAATTTAGAAATGACTGCAAAATAACGTTGATATCATATCTGATTGTCTTAATGACAATACTGTGGGATTCGTGAGACTCTAAAAACCACATCCATGCTTTAAAACCCCCGGGACTTCATCATCAGATACAAATTAAACCTGCAAGCGGCGTCAACGACCCTCGCCACACTGCACTGTTAAATTATCAATAAAGTTTTGTTGACTATGTTTCTCAGTGATTTTGCCATGACTTCAAATGCTGTATCTGTATTTACATATATTTTCCGTAATTGCTGGAATTTCACCATAGAACATACCGATTTTTATTTTTTTTTACAGCGTGTGCATTACAAAATATGATGAACAATCATGTTGTATTCTCCCGTCCATGCCCCACACTCAAAAAGATGTCACACTTTGTCAGTTTCCTCACAAACCGCTCACAAATACAGACACCCTATAAAAGCCCCAACAGAAAGAGTCTCAGGTAAAATGAAAACAAATCAGACAATAAATTAAGTGAATGAAAAGTGCGTGAGTGAGTAACTACCATAGTTCACTCATTTACATATTAGTTCTATATCTGTGGTTTGAAAGTTCTTTACTCCAGCTTCATATGAATCATTATATAATCACAGGACATTAAAAAGGAAGATAAAAACATTAAATCCCTCAGTTGTAGCACAGCTAAACAGAACTGTCTTTAACCTGGTTTTAAACATGTCAGAGAGGAGGCCTGTCTCACATCTTCAGAGTCCCAGCAGGAGTCCAGTCCCTGTGCTCCTCAGAGTCCCAGCAGGAGTCCAGTCCCTGTGCTCCTCAGAGTCCCAGCAGGAGTCCAGTCCCTGTGCTCCTCAGAGTCCCAGCAGGAGTCCAGTCCCTGTGCTCCTCAGAGTCCCAGCAGGAGTCCAGTCCCTGTGCTCCTCAGAGTCCCAGCAGGAGTCCAGTCCCTGTGCTCCTCAGAGTCCCAGCAGGAGTCCAGTCCCTGTGCTCCTCAGAGTCCCAGCAGGAATCCAGTCCCTGTGCTCCTCAGAGTCCGGGCTGGTTCATATGGGACTAACATGTCACTAATATATTTTGGTGCGAGGCCATGGAGAGACTTGTAACAAGCAGAGCTGTGTGTAGTAAGTTAACAATTAGAGATTGCAAATACATTATGTTCTCACACATATCTTTATTAATCAAATTCATAAATCATATCATAAACACAATTCATTAAATAAACAGTAATCAAAAATACAGTGCATGAACACAGCTCTGCAATACTTCTCCTGACCACACGAGAGAAGACATGAGCCACGTTTAAACGCTCAGCTAGAACTTTTATTATCATAGTCTTACAAAGCAAACCTTGTTTCAATAATTTGTGCTCTTCACAAAAACAGATTATACTGTTTAAATTGAACATTTAAAAATGTAAAAAATATAAAACAGGTGATTGGATTATGAAGACTTTGAGAACATTTGAACTGTAGCATTTGTATTGATTCAAGTACAGTATATTTCATCCTGATTAATGGGAAAAGTCTGATATTTTTCTAATTTATAAGAAGACATTTGTTTGTTCCACTAATACATTTGTTGATCATCAAATTTAAAGAAGAAATATGACCATTAAAATGTCAGACTATTTGCAGGAAATGAGAATTGTTAAGGCAAGGGTAGTATTCATTTGTGTTCCTTCATTGGAAAATTACCAGTTTTGAGCACATATGTGAGATTATACTTCTGTTTTAAACATATCTCCAAGAAAAAATAAGAACGCGAAACATTAATAAGACCTTTTCACAGCAACACGTTCCTTGTTAGAAACAAGAACAAATGCTTAAAACACAAATTCTAAGACATTTTCTCTTGTCAGATTATTTTTTGCTTAAAAAAGGTTTTCCAGCATCCTATGTTTGCCGCGTGACACCCATGGCTGAAAACATGTCAATAATGAAAAGACTGCTGCGCCGCTCAGTGCCAGTGTTGGAGAAGTTATTTCAATGTAATTAGTTACATATCACTGATTGATTTTTATGTAATATGGATCTTTTGTGACACATTTGATGCAACTTGACTTTTCAGCAGTTTGCAGAAGTCATTTTCCATCTGATGTTTTGCTTCTCTGAAGGTCAAAGCAAACTTTTCAGTTGCTTCAGTGGCAGATGCTAAAGGACTGTCTCTGGCTGTGTCTTTTAGCAACAATAAACAACCAACATCTTTTGTCACGATCTTCGGTAATAAGTTACATTTACTAAGTATAGTTACAGTCTCAAGAAAATAACTTACATTTTTTGGGATTATATTTGCAATTCTATTTTTCTAAATAACATTTCAATAGCTGTAAACAACAATGGGTGATTATGACTGAAATGTTTATGAAGCAGACCATTGTCTGTGTGAGATTCTGAAAGTAAATAATACATATAATTAATATGTATTTGATAATAACTCATCTAATCTCATCTGATTTCAGTAAGTAATTACTTGTTTTGCATTGAAAAAAGTGGCATTCCTTTTGAAGTAAGAACAAATGTAAAGTTTTGATCAGCAGCAGTTGAGAGCACGGTTCGTCTCTATTCAAAACTGTTTGCAAATTGGGATCAAATGACAGTGAGCAAACACACTCCTGCAGGGCGTGTTTAAAGCACACTCTTCTGCTGCCTCCACATGTCCAAGAAAATACATATATATGTTATATACAGTATTATAATATTTATCAAATATTATGATATAAAATACAATGTACACAGTTTGTTGAAACAACTCATTATTGTAAAAAAGGATAGTGTAGTGTAAAACTAACCTGTCTCACCACCCGTAGTGCCTTAACTTCTCTCTTTTAATGATTTTAAGGTATTTTATTGTCTTTATTTATTATGTTTTTATCTTTTAACTCTATCCTATGTTTGTAGGATTGCGAGCAAGGGACCAATGCATGATTTCCTTTTTTAATCAATAGATATCTATCAATCTAAAAAAGCAACATTCTATTTGAAAGGGTGGGTCTAAAATTTGGTTTCATTAACTCAGCAAGTGATATATTTAAAGAAAAACCATGAACACCTGATTGTATCGGGTGGGGTGGATCATAAATATCACAATGATATGTGATTTTTATTTTATTTTTAACTATTCTCATTTTGAATTTAATAAACTAGTGGCTTATGCAAAAAACTAAAAGTAACTTTGAATTTTTATATCATTATGTGCTCAACAATAATACAGTAAACACCATACATCATGTATTTGCATTTTAGACTAATCTATTCCCTCCATATCTTTGCAAATCAAGTCAAACTACTAATTAGAATAATAAATGTATTTACTAAAGCCTAGGATAGTTTAGATGACACTAAACCTTTTTCATGGACGTATAGTTTGAAAACATCATATTCAGATCACTTTATAATCTAATTGTTTAAATTGTTTTACAAACTAATCCATCCACCAATGTCTCCTTTATATTTATCATCCCATTGTTGAGATAATTGGACATCAATACTTCAACAACAGCCAAGTCTATAATGAAATAAAAACAGCTTATCAACTCCTGTTTGTAAAACGAACCCAACCACCGCAGAAACAAACTAATCAGCTTTTGCACAGTTTCTCAAAACAAGAAAAAAGGTCTCTTCCATTGTTTGAAATTGCAGTGCTGATTTTCCTACCAACAAAACATAGTGACATAGCAGCAGGTCATAGCAGGGTTTGCTTTTTCATTTGTGCCAAAATCCCTGAGCAGATCTTCTGAATCATCCAGGTAAAGCAAAATAAGTGAATGAAAATAAACAGACGTGCGTTGAGATGACGTTGGAATCGCCGAAGCCATGCTGTCTCAATGGCACAAGACAAAGACTTCTTGAACATGCATGAATCCAACTATAATGCGTGTGGTAAATGAGATGGGAAACTATAACCGTAAAAAGTCAATTTCATAATATTCCTCTTTTGAACGATCTTCAAAGTCTATAAGTAGGCCACCGCGCTCCTTACCGAGGGATACCGGGAAGGCTGGGGCTGGCTCTGCAGGCTGTAGTGGCTGTAGGTCGCGGACGGGTGCCTGGAAAGCATTGGCTGGGTACGTGGTTGAAGCGGCTGCGGCTGTGGGATGTAAACCAGCTGCTGAGGCTGCAACTGCTGTGGCGGGTATGCAATGTAATCTGAATTCCTAGAGTACAAATACCTCTCCGAACCCTCCTTTTCCGACCCAATGTTGCAACAGGCAAACATGCAACCGCCTGCGAAAAGAAAGGCTGACGAAACCCAACCAATGTACAGCGCCTCGCCGAGCTCCCTCCGTTGGGCATCGATGAGCAAAGGGTTGTAGAAGTCTCGTATGATGACGTGGCCGGTCCAGGACACTGGTATGAGAACGCAAATGCAAGCGCAGATGATCATACTTCCAGCTGTGATGAGGACCATTCGCTTGGCACGGTCGTTGTTTTGGATACATGAGGTACATTGGAGTCCCACCAAGCTGATCAGCAACCCGAGGCCGCCCAAGGCTAAGGCACAACACATCAAGCCTCTAGCTGCTTGGAGATCGGGCGGAAGAGCCAGCAGTGAGTCGTACACTTTGCACTGCATTCGGATGTCGGCCTGACGGAAGCAGTTCATCCAAAGTCCCTCGTACCGGGTCTCAAAGACAATTATGTTTTCGCCGATGAAGGCTGTGACTCGCCATTGAGGCATTCCGGTGCTGGCTGCTGTGCCAACCAATCCAATCAGAGTCAATAAAAGGCCGATTATCTCTAGAGCTGAGTTTGCCATGGCTTCCCCAGCTCCTCTTCCACTACGCAGTGTACAATGTTTGCAAAGCCAGAGCAGGAAGCAGGAGTATCTGAGCAGCCAGTTTCATCCCAGAGGAGGAGCAGTCTGGAGCAGGTAGAGCAGAAATGGGAGGAGTGGGTCATGCTACCTGTTCCTAAGTAACCAAATCCCTGGGTTGTGTTTTTCTCTCCTCTACTCATGCCCTCTGGTGAGCAGGGCTTTTGTTTGCTCACTGAGCTCAACTTACATCCACACACCTTTGCAGTTGTGTATTATTGTTGGGAGAAGAACAAGGAAAAGGTGACATGTTGTTTTCAGAGTTGGCTGTGGACCTGTCTAAAACTACAATAATAAAAATTATTATATGACTTGGACCGTACGCGCGCTCTGATTGGCTGATTACCGGTCTGATATTTTCCCATCTCAGACCGTTACCATGACAATCTGTCCACAGCCCGTATCACACAAAACCAAGTCGGACATGAACATACTTCACAAATATCTCAAAAGCATTGGACACAGACGAGAGTCATATAATAAAACATTTATTAACCTCGCCACGGCTCAGTCTGTACATTAAGGCTCGGTCTGTGCATTAAGGCCGCGGTCTGATATTTCTCCATACAGACCTCGCTCGGTTAATAAGCCTTTATTCTTGAGGGAAAGCACAAGGTAGCTTCATTAAAGTATTGGTTTAAGATCTTGTCTTGTATCTGTATATCCAAGCGTCTCCTTAATTGGAGATTTTTGAATAAGTAAGTACGTTTTTATTTATTTATTTAAAGACGCAATTGCATTCTACTATAGAAGAATGTATCTAACATGTGTTACTGAAGGCACAGACAGCTAACCTGGTCTTACCACACCATGGTTATTTCATACTAAAGTCTGTATGTGCTCCATTGAGCTCCGTAACAGGGTTAACTCCTTTTGCAGATTGAAACGATTGGCTCTGAGTTACCGTGACGCATGTATTGCGCCTGAGTGAGTCGCTAGCATTTAGCATTTAGCCTAGCCATCTTCTTTACCCCTAAAGGAGCTCGCGGGGAGTATCACCCCTAAATCTTGGCCAGTAAAGACATTTGCAAAAACATTCCTCTTGTTCCTGCTTCAATTTCTTGATAGAACCAGAAAGGATTACTTTACCATCGCATTCTCTGCCATTACCAAACCACAACCAGCCAATTCGGCGCAAACTCTTCGTCCCCTACATCTACCTTCAACACCCGCCTCCCACGCTTGCTGATTGGTCGGATGGGATTCAACCGATGTAAATGCAGACACTGGGAGCAGACCCAGAGGGTACATTTATGGAAATGATAATTGACCCGAGTTTACGGATGGCGAAGGCCAGGCTAATAAAAGGCATCATTAGCTCGAGATATTCCCAAACTAATGTAAAGGCAAACTTGTGTTTGTATAATGTATGGGTAAAAAATGCTTTCTGCCTGTAACTGTCTTTGTTTCCACTGGAAGGATACATTTAACCCAGACACGTGATTGTAACGACATGTCATTACACCTGAGATGGGACCAACATTCATTCAACCCACTTTTCATTAATTGTTTTGACATTTTTAAATATTTTTTTCAAATATTAAAAGACACATTACACACATTGTAGTGTTTTTGCCCCGTATGCAACAAGTCTCGCTGGGTGGCAAATGTAAAATATTATTGCATTAACTGCAGTTTGATAATGGAGTATTTCTTCCATCTTTTTCTGCCATAATTTCTCAACTGTAGAATTCTTTATTTTAGTTTTAAAAGACTCTATAGAACAGTATTATTCAATCAGAAAGCAGAGTGGGTCTCATGTGAGTCTCATTTGAGTATGCATTTCCAAAGGTGACATACTTCCTGATTCCAAAGCCCAACAATAAGTTTGTGCACACATGTGCTTTGAGGAAAGAGCTGGATTGGCTGTATGCAACAGAATTCTCAGAATTCAATTGAAAAAATTGATATCTCAATTTGTCAAGAACTTGTATTCCTTTAGTTCAAACCTTCACTGTGTTTTGGTTTTTATAGAAATACATTTGAGGTGAAGAAGGGTGGACTTTTGTTTGAATGGCGCTTAAATTAAACATATTTGGCTTTATTTTTTGTTAATAACTTAGTTAAGAATAACTTCCCTTTAAAAATGAACTATGCTCTATTTTTGACCTGTATTTAAAAAAAATTAAAGAGGTCGGTCCGATTTCACCCTGACTATGAGCAGAACGCCAAGTAAAGTTACAGTAACAAATGTTCCAGGGAAACAAAAATGAACAATAAAGCGTGATGGAAATTGAAGCAAGCTAATCACTCACACATTTGCTGACATTTTCTTACTTTTGTAGATTTACTAAAGCCTTTTATGGCAGTAACTGGACTCTAAAGTGTGTGTGTGTCATTACTGGTGTAACATTACAGATGACTGTGGGAGATAGGATCTGAACTGTGTTGTTGTCGCCTATGGGTGCGGCGGCCTGAGCGACTAGTTCATCAAGTTTAGCCACATTTACTGTGACTACAATAGACGGTGGTAAAAAAGCAGTTTCACCGAAACTGATGTCTGTCTGCTCAGAAAACCCCTGCACATTATCGGAAAATATTGGAAAGAATCAATAGAGAAATCTCATCTATGTGTATTCTAAGGCATTGTAACTATAAATGTACATGTATCCTCATCACATGGCTTTGGAGACATACAAATGCACAAGAAGTAACAAAAACTAGTAAAAGCGCTAAAAAATAAACAGCATTGTTCATTTTTACAAAATGTTTTATTAACCTATGTCCTTATAAAATGTACACTCACCATAATGTACAGAGACCCTAAGAGGCCAATAGTGCATACAATTTCTTAAAGCAGCTTCCAAAGTCAAACATATTGGGCTTTTTCAACTGGTGGCCAAATCTTGGTCTTTTTTATCGGCCTATAGTTCTTAATTCTTAAATCTGGTTCGGACACATGATTTTGGTTAAGCCATATTTCTGGCAACTCCACAAAGATTGTTTTGTAGACCCAGAAACCATGGACGACTCAAAAATATGTCTCTTCAGAAAACACAGTTGAATATCCCTTACAGCATTTATCAAAAACAACTGTCACAGTGAAACAGTGAAAAAACAAATGGTGCCATTTCTCTGCGGTCCATTCGTTCCACACATATCAAAAGAGTCTTACGTCTCTGGAATGGCTTGACTTCCACCCTTCAGTACTGAGTTGGGGTATAGGCCACAGATCCGGGTGGCGGTGCAGAGTAAGCGGGCTGATAGGTGTACCCTGGCTGGTACCCTGGTTGGTACCCTGGTTGGTAGCTGTACGGCTGGTAGGTGTACGCAGGTGGTGGCAGCTGTCCTTGATACTTCAAAGCCTCTGCTTCTTGGGTGCGCGGTGCGTGGCGACAGAGCAGGATCACCCCGGCTACGAAAAGCAAAGCCCCGGTCACCCACCCGATATACAGCGCCTCTCCCAGCTCTCTCCTCTGTGCATCAATGAGAAGCGGGTTGTAGAAATCGCGGATGATCACATGGCCGGTCCACGAAACGGGAATCAAAGTGGTGACACAGCCCATCAGGAAAAGACATCCCCCGACCACAAGTACGACGTGCTTGGTGCGCGCACGGTGGTCGATTGCCTTGGTGCACTTCATCCCCACCGCAGACACGACCAGCGCAATGGCCGTCAACGCAACTGAGCTGCACATGAGACCTCTGGCAGCCTGCAGATCCGGCGGAAGAAAAAGCAAAGAGTCATATACTTTGCATTGCATTCGAATGTTGGCTTGACGGTAGCAGTTCATCCACAGACCTACGGAAACAGGATTTAAATATTACACTAAAAATCACAATTTTAACTTTTAAATCACACACACACAAAATCCATTTAACTAGTTCCTACCTCTCTGAGCAGTTTTGTACAATCACAAGTTTTCACACGCATGTAATGTTTCACCTCATACTAAATCCCTTTAACCTGCTCTGGGAACTGCACATTGTGTGTATTTAGTGCACTTAAAGAGATTGGTTTTATTGTTTGCACCGTGAGCCAAGTTTGTCACTTCCTGATACTTACAATGGCAATATTAAAGAATTCTGACTCTGATTTTGGTCTTATCTTTAAACCATCATTTTCTGTTGGAAGAAAATATGAGTGCAATACCACAATCTTCTGGGAGAAATGTTCCTCTTTTTGCAATTAATGGTGGTTATACTACAGTCACTACAGTCATACAGTTACTTGTAACAGAAAGTAAATATTCTGTTAAAATCAATTTCAGGCTTAAAAAATGCAGAGACAAAATCTGAAAAATCAAACATTTTTTACAAACCTTCCCATCGCGTTTCCATAACGATGATATTCTCTTCTATGAACGCCGTAACTTTCCACATAGGCAAACCGGTGACGGCGGCGACACCAACAAGACCGATGAAGCCGATCACTAAGGCCACCACCTCGCAGCAGATGGCCGAGCGCTTGTCCCTCTTATCCAGGCGTTTCTTTTCTTCATAAACAGAATCTCCATAGTATTCTCCATAGTTTTCGGGTGGCTTTCCGTCATAGTATGTTCCGTCTACATAGGTCTGCGGCGGTTTGGTGTAGCCGCTGTAGCCACTGTATCCGGTGTATACAGAGGCCATGGCAGTGCGGGAAGCAGGCGAGGAATGACCCAAGCCTAGATGTCAGCTTGAGTCCTGTCACGGCGCAAGAATGAAGCAGCAGAGCCAGTCGGGGAACTTATACACCCAAAAAAATGCAAACGTGAAGCAATGCCATCCTACTGGTCCAACAGCTTTTGAGGTGCAGGTGATGAGCCACTGAAGAGGGAAAGGCTTTCTGATGCTAATGGCGCTGAAAGTGGCTTAAGTGAGGTTGTGTTTAGATTTCCTTTTTGATTTGTCAAGTAAATTTCATTGAAACTTCGATTAAAGCTGAGGTGCCTTTAACTTATAAACAACAGATGATGGAACTACCTTCCTGCAGGCCAATGTGGAATCCATGTTTTGGACTTGCCTGGACTAAGCATTATTATCTCAAGAACTGACCCGCATTGCTACAGGTTATCTCAATGGATGATGTCTCTGTTCTTAAGCACATTGATACATATCATATAAAAAACTTTGTCTTCTTATGTTCTCTCTGGAAGAGCTGTGAAATAAACTAGGTTACATCTGCATGATGATCCTGCATGAGATCGCTGCCCTCTGTCGACACCTTATAGGACTTTTAAACCCCCATGTTGTTTTGATAATTTGATGGGGTTTTTCGTATTGAATTTGAATCTGTAGCACTTTGAGGTTTCGTGGAAATGTAAGGTGCATTATGAATAAAATGTCTTGTTATTATTATTATTATTATAGTACTAGCTGGGCTATTATGGGTCTCTTTGCATTGGCGTATGATACCCACTTATTCCAATAGGAATTAAACCAACCGTCTTTCTCATTCACAAAAGCAGTCAGCTCTTCCATCTTAATTCCATTTGAATGATACAAAGTTTGTTATATACAGGTCAGGATAACCATTTATTTTTATGACAAGCAAAGCACTAAGCAGACACTTGTTTCTCCAGTCCAATGGTGTGTAACCAAAAACATGTCTTAAAAGAAAACAAAAAAGTGAGGTACCCGCCTTTAGCTGATATCTATCTATCTATTTTGTAGTGCATATGTTCCTTCCTCCATCCACATTTTGTGTGTGTGCGTGTGCCTGTGTGTGTGTGCTTGCGTGTGCGTGTGTGTGTGTTGGAGAAACCGGAGATGCCCTGGTATCAGTGTAAGCTCACAGCCGGTGCTCCTGAGTGGGGAGTTCACACCTCCACACCGGCCTCCTCATGACTCGGCTCCATAATGAATGAGAGCATTTACTACTCAGCTGCTTTCAACACCATCCGTCGAACTCTGCAATTTTGTTGCAGAGAAACATTTCTACATTGCCCGTTTCACTGTCAGTGGTCAGAATTGCTATACATCTAAACAATGTATCCTGTTCACACAGGGCTTGGGTCAGCGAAATGTGAAAGAACAGAAATTTGGACGTTGTTCTTCAGAGTGAGCCAACATTTATATCAACTCAGACTCACATCATTTGCAGAAGTGGGACATCTAAATTTAGCAAAAATATTTTTGATAACTCAACTTTTTGCAGTGCATGAAAGTGCCCATGTTATTCGATGAAGACATAAACCCTCAGATCTTATTAGTTACAATATTGTTTTTTTATCCTGAGAAAGCCATAATCACCTCCTTTGAGAGAAGTGGGGCAGCAGCTTGAGATTTCCACTTTAAATTAGTTAACCAGCTGTTAAATGTTGGCATAGTGCGACTATGGGACGACAGATGGAAAATAGCCTGAGGCTAAAATCTGGTGTGTTTAAAGGTTCAACTTCTTCTTTCCTCTCAAAAAGTGGGCTCTTGGCCCAAAGCTACGTTTCAGATGTGAGTCAATGCTGAAGGGAGTATATATTTTTGGACCACATTTCCTGCGAGAGGGGCTGTCCGCGGCCATTTTGAAAAAGCCCCATAGAAGGCAACAGTGATGGCACATTCAACGACGGAGATAGGCGTGACTACGTCCGTAGTTTACAGTCTATATTGAAAGTCTATGGTGAAATGCAAGCGTTGAAAAACTGCTTCCAGAGTGGAACAGAACAGATATGCTGCGCAGCCGGGGGCTGTTTCACAACAGTGTGAAGAAAAATGTATGAATTATCTGGCTGCAATGACCTCACCACCTTCCCACACATACATGTGCAGTGGCCGAGAACAAACGTGAACAACAATGGCGGCGGGTCAACTAAATGCTTTGAACAGAGGAGAATATTACTCCTTCGTCCGTCCAAACCAAACCAAGCAAAGCTGTAGTTTCAGTTTCCCTTTTCACTACTACTCTTAAATACAGTGTGTCGTGTTGTAAAGTTCCACTGCCCACTACATTGTTTTCCGTGGTTGTGTTAACACTGTGCACTTCGAATAAGGAGCCTAGTCAAGTGCTTTGCATCGTCTCCGCAGCGTCTTTGTCTGATCAGGGCCTTATTGTCCACGAAGGGAAATTTGTCTTTGGCTCACAGTGCAATAGGCACAAACATTCAAGACACTCTCAAGATGATTGGCCCGTCTGCACAATTTGAACATGCCGGCATACAAATCAACATAGAAAGACCGCAGTTAAAAAAAACAGTTTTTACACAATAGAACAAGGCAAGTACACTGTCCAAAGTGTTTTTCTGCTGATGTGATTAGGCTCTCATGAATCAACCCAAACTAGTTCTATTACTCAAGCTAATTATTACCAGTTTCTTCAGCATTTGCAGATTATCTTTATTATTGTGATCTTGACTAAACTGGCACTGTTTATAATCATTTAATGACTTATTTTCTTACATATTTCTTAGATGATGTATGATATATTTTCTATCTTATATTTTGTACCGTGGAGCCCTGTCTGTGTATTACTGCTAAACATTTTTATCTGAAGAACTGACCATATTCTTACTTCTGTATCTTTGACATATCTGTGATGACGTCTCTGGTCTGACCACATTGCTATGAAGAGCCTTGTCTCCTTTTCTTCGAGCTGAAAGGATTCAAAATAAACCGTGGCACAGATACTATCGCCGCTGCCTTGTCTTTATTCCTTAACAAATGCATTTGTAACCCAGATATATTTTGATATACTTTTTAAGAAATATTTTAAGAATGATATTGTTCATGTAATTTAAAATATCATTACATTTAAAATCATGTTTTTACCTGTGAAATGAAATGTTTTGTCAAGTCTCGCGAGACTTGGGGCGAGACTTTGGGTCTGAGATTTGCGCGCCGCCATTTTGAATATAGCCGGCTGCTTACATGGATGTATTATATTAACTGGATAGGGTATTACTAGCTTGTAGCTGAATAACTCACGTGCTCAGGGGATTCTCGCGGTACTGCAGACTAGACCAGACTAAATTCACGTGGGCTACCCAGAAATTTTCCCCATAGAACTCAATGCATATTAAAACAGCTCAAGCTCACCTGACAGAGAACCTGACAGAGAACCTGACAGAGAACCTGACAGAGAACCTACAGCTTTAATAAAGATCGGATTTTGTGGGGATTTTAGTGTCCCTTGTCATCCTGAACTTTTTTTCTTCTTAAATCCTTCGGTTTTGTTTAAATCCACACTTTAGTGCCACAAACTCTGCTCGTCTGGCTCTGGCTCTAACTCCCGCTCTGATGAACTGCTCTGATTGGTCAGAGCGCGGCCGAGCCCCTCTGTGCACGTGCGTGAGACCCTCTGTGCACGTGCGTGAGACCCGGTGTGAGACCCACACACGCGTGTTTGGCGCAACGCATTATGGGAGATCATCCACTGCACAGAACCGGGAGGACCAGACGATGCCCAAATACAGGCGAGTTTCCCAAAGATCTTTGAGAGTTTCCCATAGATCTTTGAGAGTTTCCCATAGATCTTTGAGAGTTTCCCATAGATCTTTGAGAGTTTCCCATAGATCTTTGAGAGTTTCCCATAGATCTTTGCGAGTTTCAGGCAACTTCCGCTAATCTTTCAGCCCCCATGCCGTCACAAAGCGCCACTGAGCACAACCATTCATTTGAATAGGGCGCCATCTTGGATCGCCGGGGCTTGGCTGCTTAGCATTTGTGGTTAGGTGTGTGGGAGATGCTGCATTAAGAGCTGCTACAGGTAAACATTTACCTCTCTAACTCGCTACCTCTGCCAAATCAAAGATCAGTTCCTAAAACGTTGTCCTCCCAACCTTTTACAGATTCATGTGACCGCAAAGTTGTCTTTGCTGCGTATATGTGTGTGTGTGAAGAAGGAATCGGTGAGTGCAATGTTATTGTTATGCTAATGCTAACTGGCGCAAAATGCTATCCAGTGCTGGCATTTATTGCTATGTGAGATTTTTATTAAGCTAAATCAGCTAAACTATAAGTGTATGCCTCACTCTATGAATTGTGTTAAGGTACCTGTTTAATGTCGTAAATGAGTGAACTTTTACTGTCATGAACAACCCATGGTTATTTAATGTATTCACCTGGTAGATAAGGGAATATTTATGCATGCATATTTTGTACACAGGCCAGGCTTAGGAGACTGCTTATTGCCATTGGCGACTTGCCGTGAGAGTACTGCCAGCAGCCGTCCTACAGTTACCTGTGTGTTTTGATCAGCCTTCACGTCTGCTGCGGTAGGACACGCTGTAGGCACTCGCTCACTCCCACCACCTCCTACATTACGAGGGTTGGGCCGGGGAGCTATTTTCCTTTCTTCTGGATCCTAGAACTGTTTACCTTTTGGGACTAAGAGGCCCTCTCGGACTCTGAGCGTGAACTCGGTGGATGGAAAGAGCGATTGGTTACTTGTTTTTGGTTTTGTTTTGTTTTGTTTTGTAAATATTCAAGTGCACTTGAGCCTGTAAATATTGTAAATACCCCTTCTTCAAAATATCAATAACACAAATAATTTGCTAGCATCCCAGTTGTCTTGAGTATTTCATACGCACTATCATTTCCTCCCAGAGAGAACTTATTTTTCTGAGTAGTCTCAGTCATATTACATTTTACAAAGAAAGTTACTATATTACCGATATAATCAGTAACTCTTATGCACATACGTGTTACACATTACTCCAAAGAGAATGCATCATTTGGATTTTCAGTGTTTTTGAAAGAAAACTAAAACATATGATTAGGAGAAGAGGAGAGATCCTTGAACAGTAACTGTCATGAAAGTCTTTTAACAGGATGTTTGGCCCTGTTCCATGGAGAGGAGTCCAGACATTCATATTGAATTATCTAAATGATTGGATGAACAAATAATGTAAAAACCAATTTATTTAAACTAGTATATGTATGTATGTATTTACAAAATATAAATCTATGTATTTTTTTATTTCATCATAAGGTAAATCACAAGATACGGTGTAAAACGAGATTCATGTTGTGTAATGTTTTACACAAATGTAAAAATATAAATATATTTATAATAATATATAATTATTATCTCATACATAGACTGTATATATTAAGATCTCATAGTTATGACTTTCTCTTTTTTGAGAACAACGCAGCATCCGTCTTCTTCTTCTTCTTTAATATATACAGTCTATGGTCTTCACACGTACTCCACAGTCTTGTGCGTGCTGGACGGAGCTCTGTGCAAGTACACGCTCTCCTCGGTGCACGTCAGAGCGTGCGCCTCCGTGTAGCCGCTCCTCTCCTCCTGGCTCCTCCTCTGGCTGAAGCGCAGCAGAAATATGATTCCTGCTGCGAGCAGGATCCCTGATGTGGCCCAGCCCACATACAGCGCGGCGCCCAGCTCCCTCCTCTGTACAACCATCATTAACGGGTTGTTGAAGTCCCGAATGACCGTGTGCGCCACCCAGCACACCGGGATCAGAGTGGTAAGGCAGGCAAGCAGAAAGAAACAGCCCCCGATCGCCAACATGGTGGTTTTGGCCCCCGGGCTGTCGTTGCAACATGAAGTCACCTGCAGAACATCATGTGTTCATATGTTTTCAAAATTATGCCTGGCTTTTTTGTTAACTTTCCCATTTTCAGAAGAATTTGTCCTGTATGGAGCTGTGGTTAGAATGCTTAGGATTTCAGGAAATAAAATCCCCATAGGATTAGGAAAAAGTTACAGATTGAAAGTGAAAAGATTGTTCATACACACACCTTTACTCCAATAATGCATAAAGTTTCATCAAATCTGGCCCCCTGGAGCTATTTTTAGCTCCATTCATGCTAATATCAGGGATGTCGCACCTGACACATTTTACCAAGCTCTCTGCCCAGCTTTAAAAAGGCTAAATGAGTGTCCCGTGGCACGTTTGTGAGCCTTTAGTTGTGGTGCGTCTTTGGAGATTATCCAATATCACCTAATTTGTGAAAAGAATGTCAGACTGTTAGACTTTCTGTATAATACACTTTGAGGAGAATGACTGCACTGTAATAAAGGCTGCAGCAGAGTTATATTCATCTTTTTTAGCTGGTGGTGTGCATGTGATTGTTCTCCATGACTCAAAGAGGCCGAGAACAGTGTTGGCGAGGACCAAAATAATTATACCCACTGTATATACTGTATGTTGTAAAGCGCATTGGATTGATCATAAACTTGTTTACAGCCCTATAACATGCTCTATCAATTAATACATGTCAACTGATAATTATCGATTATCAATTGTTATTCAACCTTCCATAGACTAAATAGGTGAGCTTTCATGACTCAGAAAATGTGTTCACAAAGTGTTTTTAATCAAACTCAATGTGTGACATCTCTTTGTGTTTTGGTCAAACGTACAAATAATTCCCATATTCACTGTTCCAGATACAAACAACTCATGAATTATCAAAATGATTGATTACGGCCCAAGTTATATTTTATGGGATACAATGCTATTGACAGGATCTATCTATCAGCAGTGATGGGAATAACGGCATTGAAATAAACGGCGTTACTAACGCCATTACTTTTTTCAGTAATGAGTAATCTAACTACTTTGACTGTAACTATAACGCATTAATCAGAGAAATTGGGTAAGTGGGTGTTTCCACATTCACAGTGTTTAGTGCTTATAGCACACAGAGAGAGATGGAGAGTGAGGAGGACTCCAGCAGCAAAACAGCCTTTTCCAGATTGAGAAATCGACACTATTGAAATCTCACTGAGGTTAAAGGTGAAAATGTGCACGTCGAGTTTTGAGAAGTGTCTGTCCATCCGCTGTCGTTTACGTTGAACTGCAATAAATGCAAACCTCTGTGCAGCTGCTTGCCTTTGGCGTCAGGCACTGTATTCATCTGGCTCATGAAACACAGGGGGGGGGGGGTTACGAGGCAAGAAACAAAAAAGTAACGCAAAAGTTACTTTCACTGGTAACTAGTTACTTTTATAGTGGAGTAACTCAGTTAGTCCCTCAGTTACTTTTTGGGTGAAGTAACTAGTAGCTATAACTAATTACTTTTTCAAAGTAACATGCCCAACACGGTCTATCAGTGGCTACACCACCTCTGCTGCTGTGACCCGTCCTGCTCCACCCAGCATCTGCTCCACCTGTCCTGCTCCACCCAGAGGCTACTCCACCTCTGCTGCTGTGACCCGTCCTGCTCCACCCAGAGGCTACTCCACCTCTGCTGCTGTGACCCGTCCTGCTCCACCCAGAGGCTACTCCACCTCTGCTGCTGTGACCCGTCCTGCTCCACCCAGAGGCTACTCCACCTCTGCTGCTGTGACCCGTCCTGCTCCACCCAGAGGCTACTCCACCTCTGCTGCTGTGACCCGTCCTGCTCCACCCAGAGGCTACTCCACCTCTGCTGCTGTGACCCGTCCTGCTCCACCCAGAGGCTACACCACCTCTGCTGCTGTGACCTGTCCTGCTCCACCCAGAGGCTACACCACCTCTGCTGCTGTGACCTGTCCTGCTCCACCCAGAGGCTACTCCACCTCTGCTGCTGTGACCTGTCCTGCTCCACCCAGAGGCTACACCATTTCTGCTGCTGTGACCTGTCCTGCTCCACCCAGAGGCTGCTCCACCTCTGCTGCTGTGACCTGTCCTGCTCCACCCAGAGGCTACTCCACCTCTGCTGCTGTGACCTGTCCTGCTCCACCCAGAGGCTACTCCACCTCTGCTGCTGTGACCCGTCCTGCTCCACCCAGAGGCTACTCCACCTCTGCTGCTGTGACCCGTCCTGCTCCACCCAGAGGCTACTCCACCTCTGCTGCTGTGACCCGTCCTGCTCCACCCAGAGGCTACACCACCTCTGCTGCTGTGACCTGTCCTGCTCCACCCAGAGGCTACTCCACCTCTGCTGCTGTGACCTGTCCTGCTCCACCCAGAGGCTACACCATTTCTGCTGCTGTGACCTGTCCTGCTCCACCCAGAGGCTACACCACCTCTGCTGCTGTGACCTGTCCTGCTCCACCCAGAGGCTACTCCACCTCTGCTGCTGTGACCTGTCCTGCTCCACCCAGAGGCTACACCATTTCTGCTGCTGTGACCCGTCCTGCTCCACCCAGAGGCTACTCCACCTCTGCTGCTGTGACCTGTCCTGCTCCACCCAGAGGCTACTCCACCTCTGCTGCTGTGACCCGTCCTGCTCCACCCAGAGGCTACACCACCTCTGCTGCTGTGACCTGTCCTGCTCCACCCAGAGGCTACTCCACCTCTGCTGCTGTGACCTGTCCTGCTCCACCCAGAGGCTGCTCCACCTCTGCTGCTGTAAAAGTGTAAAGTGCTGTTGCATTTGAATACTGCTACTATTGTTAGCTACTTTTAAAATTATCTAGTCATTCGGGCGGCACGGTGGCTGAGTGGTTAGCACTCTCGCCTCTCAGCAAGAAGGTCCTCGGGTCGAATCCCGGTCGAAATAGGGCCTTTCTGTGTGGAGTTTGCACGTTCTCCCCATGTCTGCATAGGTTTCCTCCAGGTGCTCCGGTTTCCCCTACCACTAAAAACATGCACAATAGGTCTGAATGTAAATGAGAGAGTGAATGGAGGGTATTGATTGGAGCTGATGGTCCAGTGTGTTCTGGACTCGCTTCTGTCATCACCGTGTGTGGAAGGATTGGAACAATATCTGACTCTGAACATTGGAAAGAGCTTTGGGTCTGTAAAATGTGCTATATAAATAAACATTACTTACTTTTTTTTTTTTTTGTAAGGATGGATGTGTTTCTGCTGCAACTGGACACCTGAATTTCTCCTACAGGGGATCAATAAAGTCTGTGTGGCGTTTTCATTTTTCTCCCTTTGTCTGCGTAGGTTTTCTCAGGGTGCTCCGGGTTCCCCTACCTCTAAAAACAGGTATAAGTATCACATTCATACCTATTGTACATACCTAATAATTTGATGCGCCAGTGTGTTCAGCGTCTGGCTTCTGTCATCACCGTGTGTGGAGAGAATGGAACAATATCTGACTCTGAATATTGTAAAGCGCTTTGGATGACCTTTGTCTGTAAAATGCGCTATATAAATAAAAATTACGTACTTACTGTGGGACTATAGATGGACATGAGACAATCTGGTGTATTTACTGTTACTGCTGTTCATAAAATACACACTGTCCCATCCAAATAAACAAATACAAAAACAAATATTGTCGTTCCAGCTCCTTTAACACATTCATACATGTTTTATCTGGCTTGCATTAAGCATGTAATTCCCACGGCCACCAGTGGATGGCAGTGTTTCTGTCAGTATTTTTGGAAACATAATCCATAGTCACCTTAGTTCCCGATATGGTGATGACAAACCCAATCACGGCCAGTATTATGGAAGAGCACATGAGGCCGCGTGACGCCTGCAGCTCTGCCGGTAAGACCAGCAGTGAATCATACACTTTACACTGCATCCGATCGATTTTGCTTGAAGCAGTTCATCCACAGCCCCTCCCACCGGTCCTCCATGACGATCCAGTTACCGCCGATGAAAGCCCAGACCCTCCACAGGGGGATGGCAGTTACGGCAATGGTCCCAACGATGCCCAGTGCACCCAGGACTAAAGCCAAGATGTCGAGCTTGGCTCTCATGGCTGCGAAGAAGGTGCAGTCTGCGAGAAAGCGGTCCTCTGTCCGGTTAAGGCTACTTGTCACAGATCAGATCCACAAAGCAATGTGGGCATACTGGTTTGGAGTCTGATGAAGTGGTTTCGAGGCGCGAGTTTGACTGACGGTAGCTTTTCTTCCTGCTAAATGTGGGAAGAGTAATGAAGTGGCAAAAGTACCAGGATTTGGTTTTTGTTATCATTTTTTTTTTTTTACTTTTAACTATGCTTTGTTGTTTATCATCAGTCACAGACCTGGAGTTGTTTTTGGATCCATCTATGCTAATATCAGGAAGTTGTGCCACAAACTTGTAGCTCCGCCCCTTCTATATAAAAGTTCCTGTCTCAGTCCTGTAATAGTATGATGTCATTTACCACTATGACACACTCAGAACAGTTTTCTGTTCTACCGGAGATATTATTTCACATGCTAAATCATTAGATTACAATAGTCTAATTATTGATTTTAATGGCCAAAAATATATCTTTAAATTACTTCCCATGTTGCATATGTGTCCCCAGATAACAGGTCACCATGTTCAAAATCATACTTGACCTTTGCTGAACAAAAGTTTGACCTGGAGTTATTCTTAGACAAACACTCAATGAATAGGAGAATAAATAACCCAATATTTATGTTTACTGTTTTTAAGCAAATTATCCAACCAGCGGAGAATTAGGCGCTCATTTGGGTTACCAGTTTGTTAGGGGAAATTTAACTGGTTGTAGCTTTTTGGCTACATTAGACCACTTAATTAGTCCACTAATAAAGCATTTACAGTTGCACTCTATTCTACTTGGCTCTGCTCTACCCCAATTGGGAGTGTTTTCCACAGGCCGGTACCAGGTACTTTTTCAGTACCTACTTGGAGCCAATACAAAAGTGTTCTAACAGACAGAGAATGGCCAGAGCAATGCTGGATGCCATGGTTACCAAAGAATTGTCCCGGATACTGTTTTGTTGTGTAGGTTACACACAGGGTACACCAGATCCTAGAGTGTAATGGAAACGCAACCAGGTAGAGTAGAACCGAGCCGAAGTAGAGAAGAGCAGAGTAGAATAAGTGAAATGCATTTTTGTTGCATACTTGACAAACAATATAATTTGTAATTCAAGCGATTGTCTTTAATGCACTTAAACAACTTCTGTGCATCTTTTATAATGACTAACTCAGTTTAACATAATTGCACAAAAAGCAGAGCAGTAAGAAATATATATATAATATACTGTACAACAATGGTGTAGGTTTGGTTCCAATCTTGGTGGGGACATTCACTACGACCTGAGTCTACACCCATTGACACGGGGTCCAGAGTTTCTCCCCCAGAATTTGTTGTGTAATCACACACTATATTTGCAATA